ATGATGAAACAGATAAGGAAATTCAAACTTTCCCAGTCGTGTCATCCTAAGGATGAGTGAATAGTAGTTGCGGGACAAACCGTGAGCGAAATGGAATGCAAGCCCCGACGCGAATTGAATGCTAGTCCTTTATAGCAGAATTCTGTAAACCAAGCAAGACAATTTGTCACTCGATCATACCACTAAATTCACCTCGATTCTTCGCTAATAACAAGCGGCCATATCGGGAGGCGCTGTTCCACTTGCGCCCCAGGTCGTCTCGAATGAGGATACAGGCCATAAAAATGAGAACACCAGCAAACGGAAAGCCTAATAATTTCGTCTTGTTTTCTAGGTCCCGTGGTCAACAAGCGTCACCAGTGTAGTTGATGATGAGACACGGCAAACTATGAGCAGGATACACTTAGTCAGGCCGGCTACCTTCGACTGATGGTAGACATGTTACCTACTGGGTTGGTTTTTAGCACGCTCTGTAACCATGATCGATATTCGTCCAACTTTTTCACTTTTATTTGTATTTGTTACGATCAATCATCACCATCAAGGAAATTCAGTAGCAACCGTTGGTCGCTGGTGAGTGGAGAAGTGAGTTATAGTGATGACCCACACCAATCACAGCACGTCTCAGGGGGCAATCTTCTGAGTTTCTCCAGCAGATTCCCGAAGTTTCCACGTGCATCACGCAAATCTCCGACCATGACGGACCTGGTTTGCTGGTCTACGCAACCAGACAGTGTCGCCTCCATGAATCGCTGCTCGTGACGTGACGTGCTGACAATCACCTAGAGCATTCTGGCATTTTCTTCCAGTCACTCAGAGCAGCAGGCAACTGCAAACATGGCGAGCCTCCCCCATTTAAAGATCTGGCTTTCCAACTAGAGATGAACCATTCCTCTCTCATCAGCCTCATCCACAGTTCAAATACTCCAAAGCCTCTTTCCAGCCTGCAAGCATCTCGCTCAATTTTCTATCATCGCCCTATACACATCTTACACGCCAACATCAACAAAATGGCATTCGTTACCCGCCCCAACCACAACGGCGCTTCGTTCAACCCTCTCTTCCGCCTCATGGAAGACTATGACCGGTACTCCAAGGGCGACAACTCCGCCGCGGCACCCTCCTACCAGTGGCAGCCCAAGTTCGACATCCGCGAGACGCCCGACGCCTACCATCTCCACGGCGAGCTCCCCGGAGTGAAGAAGGACCATGTCTCCATCGAATTCCCTGAACTCCAGACACTGGTCATCCACGGCAAGTCCGAGAGGACCTACACCACCGGGAGCGAGAGCGCAGGCGACGCCGCCGAGACCAGCTCAAACTCGCACAAGGCTAAAGTGGAAGATGAGGCCGACGCCGAAGCTGCCGAGGCCACAGTTGTGGAGCAAAAGCAGTCCGTCGACACGGCCAAGTACTGGCTTGCTGAGCGGAGTATCGGCAGCTTCTCTCGTTCCTTTACCTTCGGCTCTCGCATCGAGGAGGAAGGTATCTCCGCTAGGCTTCAGGATGGCATTCTGAATGTCATTATTCCCAAGGCGAAGCACTATGAGACTCGCCGCATCGTTGTCAACTAGAGACACATCGGGCTGCCATGTACTTGTCACTTGTTATTGCATCGTTCCGGCGTTTGGGATTTGAGAGGAACACATTGAAGGGATAACATGAGGAATAACTGGACTTTCCCATTGCCCTTTTCATAGTCATCAGTGGAGCTCTAATAAAATGCATCCTTTTTGCACATTAACGCCCTCATGGACTTAGATTGCCGCTTTGCCATTCCGTATACAGTACTTGCTCTGAATATGTATGTTGGTTATCCACCGTTCGCTCGTAAGCCATTTGACCCCTGGATTATCCCAAATATCCAGATCGATCACGAAAGTAATCACAACAAATTTGGCATCGGCGTGACAAAAAAAAGAATGATAAAAAAAGCAGGAAGAAACAAAAAGAGAGATCCTCCGGTACTGGGAATCGAACCCAGGGCTGCTCGGTGAGAGCGAGCGATGTTAGCCACTACACCATACCGGATATTGGATGATAATCCCCGCCGATCTTTGCCTTATTGCAGGCAGCCGGTCCTCTCCCGGGTCCTAACTCTCTGTAACTCCAGCACACCCGACACGACCACGAGCTCGATAGGCCTGCGGCTTTCTAGTGTTGTACTGAGGTCCCAGATAGCAGGGCGTACCATTAGCCACGGCGATGTGAATCAATCCTTAAGTTGACCAAGTGCACTTGAACACTCTTTTCATCGTAAACTGATATGAGTCGAGTGAATGACGTCATAAAGTGAACAGCTGATCTGGTTTCTGCCTCGAAGAAGACTGTTTCCAGGGCGTTCAGCTCCGACGCCCTCATTACCTAAACCATGTGATGCTTGAACAACAGAATTAGCTTGGATTACGACAACCTGCGGCCCAAGAAACCCATTTTTTTCATCATAAGTCTTTATTTCCTAGTGTAGACTCAGTGCGGACCGACATTTGGGAAGCCTGCGCACAGGTACAGGGTAGGTAAATGTATCAGGACTGAAGAACGACGAATGAAAGAAAAAAAAAAAAAAAAAAAAGGCGCACACCCTCACTTCGAGATATGTAATAGATGATTAATTGATTTGTAAAAAAGGCAACGCATGTGGAGGAATAGGTAGAGACTGGATTTCGTATGATTTCGTGTTCCCTTTACTCAGGTTCCTCCTCACCGCTCTGACAAGAGCCTGCCGCTTTACTGATCCGCGTCACTTTCTCCTGAATGGAGCAATACAGGGGTAAAAGCAAGCCTGAAGTGGCCCCGGATACAGCGGGTTTAGCGTTGTTTACCTGCTTGCTTTGTCTTCATCTCACTGTTCGTAATCTTCTTCTCGCCATGGACTAACGCCTCCCCAACGTCGGGTCATGTTTCTGGCACCATCGCCATCGCCATCGCCCCCGAGGAGGGACAACTGGGAAGATGGCCATGTTCACAACTCCATGGTCCATCTGGGGCAGTTCATCGACGCGTCGTCGTGGCTGCCCATCAGTCAGCGCCTCCAGCACATGACATGGGCCTGGTTCACCACTACAATGAGCACGGGAGGTTTGGCCTTGCTATTCCATACGACGCCCCATCGTTTCACCGGACTGGATATCATCGGCCGGATCGTCTACATATTCAACCTGGTTCTCTTCGTCTTGATCACGGCCAGCATGGCCTACCGTTTTGCTGCTAAGCCGAAAGCTCTGAAACATAGCTTGACTCACCCGACGGAGAGCCTCTTCTTCCCTGCGTTTCTGCTCAGCTTCGCTACTATCCTCACGAATGCCGCTGCATATGGCGTCCCCAACTCTGGTCCGTGGCTGGCCACTGCCATCTACGTCCTCTTCTGGATCTACGCTGGCTTCTCCACGCCATCTGCCATCATCCAATTCTTCATTCTCTTCCGGGGCGAGAGTTTATCCGTCCACTCCATGACGCCGGCCTGGATCCTCCCCATCTTCCCTGTCATGCTGGTGGGAACCCTGGCCGCGTCCATCTCCCCCACCCAGTCCCCGGAGCGTCGCATCGCCATGCTGGTCGCTGGCGTCACCTACCAAGGCCTCGGCTGGACCGTCGCCTGCCTCGTGTACCCCCTATACCTGGGCCGACTCATGCAGGACGGCCTACCCGCGCCGGCGATGCGGCCGGCGATGTTCATGGCCGTAGGACCTGCTGGGTTCACCACCGTGGCCATCATCGGCATGGCGCGTGCCATCCCAGCCGGGTACGGATATTTTGGTCAGCATCCTATGGCGCAGGAGGTTTTGCGTATAGTGGCTACGTGGGTGGGAATCTGGATCTGGTGCATCGGGTTCTGGTTCTTCGCCATCAGTCTCATGTCCGTGGTTGAGTCAGCGCTCAAGAAGCAGCTGCGATTCTCGCTGTCGTGGTGGGCATTTGTGTTTCCCAACGTCGGCTTCACGGTGGCTACTGCACAGATAGGACAGGAATTGGGAAATGACGCGATACAGTGGGTTGCAAGTGCCATGACGATTCTCATTGTCGTCATGTATTTCATCGTCGCGTACGCTCAAGTCCTCGCGGTCAAGAGGAAGGCAATACTGTGGCCCAAAGAACATAGTAAGTAGCTGGGGTCGAAGTTGGGTTTCCTTTTGAAGGCCTGCGCCCGAAGGAATAGTTTGGGAGTTTCATTGGCTAGAATCATGTATGGCTCATCAGCATCGCGCAACATGGGTAAGGTATATAGATAAAAGGTATTGATGTCGTGCTTTTCAATTTGGCAATATCGGAAATGGTTTGGTTTCCGGTTTAACGGGCTCAGTATTCAGTCATGCCAGGGAATGGGTCCGATAGTGCAGGTACTTTTGAAGAAGCTCCTCAGAGGTCACTGGCTTAGATAGTCGGTTTGGGGGCGAAGGAACGTCGCATCGGTACATCAAGCGTTCGTTTGTAGGCTGGATGACTTGAAGTTGGGGTTACTGTTCGTCAATCATAGGTGAACGGACAGAAGGAGTTACTAACACCCGTAGCCATCCAATACCAATCTAAGCTTCCCGACCTTGTTATCATGCAGCTGGGTCTGGCTGCTTTGATTTCCTAAGGCGCAGGGAATGGTTCCCATAGTGTACTGACTGTCCAGGCCTAGTTCAGCGTCGCATGAGCCGTGATTCTTACTGGACTTGGCCACTGACCCCTGGTTTTCAGCTGGCTGGGATAGTACCTCAGCGCGATGGGTTTCACTGGGGAGATGGCAATCAGATGGGTCGTAGAGGGGTATTGTTGCAACCAGGTAGCGCGTGTGTGCTAGCTAATGATGTAAAGATGGGCTCTTGATGATACCTGCCGGGCTTCAAAAGGCCCTGGTGACGCCCTACTTATCAAATTGGCGTCCTTACTCAAAGTGCCCCTCCACTGCTCATACGGGACTTGCTATTCTGTTAAGTCGTGATACTGCATAATTCTGGTTTTACGGTGCGGCTCGCCCGTTTAGATACCCTTTCCGAGTAGAAGTAGAGGCGAATATGGCACCTGCTTTTCTTATCACCGGGGCCACTGGCCGTCAGGGTGGCTCGGCAGCCCGCATCCTGCTTGAGAGAGGAATGACTGTTCACGTTCTGGTGCGAAAACGAGACTCACCTGCTGCTCAAGAGCTGGAAAGCCTCGGCGCGGTCCTCTTCGAGGGTGATTTCAACAGTGGGGCGGCATGTCAGGAGGCGGCGAAGGGAGTCTCGGGCATATTCCTCAATCTCTGGCCCACGCAAGATCCTGCAGACCAGGCTCGTCAAGCTCAGGCGTTCATCGACATAGCAAAGGCTGATGTCGCGACCATCGTGGCTTCAACTGCATTTCTTGCTACCAGGTCGGATCTCTGGGGAGGTGTGAATGGGCTGAAGCAATACTACGCAGGCAAAGTAGGCGTCGAGGATGCCTTGCGTGAAGCGAAACTAGCCTCCTATACAATCCTGCGCCCGGCCTTGCTCATGCACAACTACCTGATGCCCGACTCCAAATACCACTTTCCTGAGTTATCTACTGAGGGGGTAGTGGCACACGCGTACGGGCCGGGGCGTCGGATGGCACACTTGGATGCTGCTGATGTCGGAAAGTTTGCGGCCGAGGCTCTTCTCCAGCCAGCCAGATTTAATGACCACGAAATTGAGCTTGGCTTCCAAAATCTGACGCAAGAAGAGATCGGTGAGGCTCTCAGTGAGGTTAGCGGGCGGACGGTTAAGGTCCATCGCTGGACTGAAGGCGAGATCAAGGAGAAGCGAGGGCGCATTGTAACCCTGCCCTGGCAGCTGCTGGCGAACGAGCACGACCTTTCCGTTGATGGTGAGAAACTTCAAAGTGAATATGGAGTATCTTTGACCTCATTCTCCGAGTTTCTCCATCGTGAGAAGGCCAAGGTTGTGGAGTCACTACCATCGGCATGAGCCACCTCGACATAGAGTCCTGGGCAATTCAGCAGAATTGGAAGATCATGCTGAATGGATCTGGAGTGAGAGATCTGTGACAGAAACTTGAAGCCTTTTGAAACAATGAACAAGAAGCGGCCGGCGCTGGGATTGAATCGCAGATCGTTGTCCTACGTTCTATTCTGTTCACAAAGACCATTTTGAAGCTGCACCAGAGATTAGTGTTGTGTAATTGGTTTAAATTATCTGTAGGACTTGAATTTCGCATTGAACTAGCTGTGAGTCGGAATTTGGAACTGTCCTATGAAAGAGGCCTCAGGCGTACAATTTATAGCTTTGATTGGAAGGATGAGTGACTTGACGACTACGTGATCATAAGGCCTGATCGGAATTGATACAATTAGGATCAGTATTCGAATTGGTGCTAGCTACTCAACCTGTTAGTGAGAGACGTTGGTCGATATCCTCAACGTCCTGCTCGAGTCTCTATTGATGTGTGGGGGGTATTGAATAACATGATTCTCTCGTCCCCTCTTGTAAAAGATAATGAAAACGATCAAATAGATAGGAAACTGATTGTATCAATTCGGACATTTAAGGAAATCGTAACATTCCTAAACTGGTGTATTGTCAAGCCGAACGCCCTTCTGGTTATGCAACAAGCTTAAGCGGGGGGCAGAGCAGAGTGGCCCACAACCCAGCCGCCATTCCAAGCGAACTCCGTGACAGCGGTGCCCTGGGTGCCGTTCTGGAGGTAAACTCGAAGTACAGGTAGGGGGAGGGCAGCGACGTTGGAGGCGGGTATAGACGGCTGGGAGAAGCCGCCATCGTACCAGCCATTGCCGTCCCAGGCCTTCTCCTTGATGATATTGGACGGGGCGCTATAGTAGAGGCGGATGCCCTTGACAGAGCTGCCTTCGCTCCATGAAGTCACGCCTAGAGTCGTGCGGGTGACACCATTGGAGAAGTGCAGGCCGCCGTTGTACCAGCCCGTGCCGTCCCAGGCCTTTTCAATGATATTAAGGCTGGTGTCTTGGTAGTAGAGCCTTAGAGCCGTTAGCGACCTTGAAATATTATGGAAAGGAGGTAAGAAGGATGTTTGAAGACTAAACATTGGTTCACATACCGGATGTAGTGATGAGGGGAACCGTTGCCCCAGGATGTGGTAGCAATAGATGTGCCCGGCAGAGCAGCACCAAAGTTGGTACCAGTCGTCCAACCCTTTCCATTATTGTTCCCTAATAGGTTTAGATATTGAATCAGTACCGCGCACTGGCAACATAAATTAATTCAACGATGGAATAGCAGTGACTATACATACAGCACCATTCCTGAATCGTGTTGTTGGCAAGCTGCCCGTAAACACGGAGGACGCTATGGTTGTCGATAAAGACACCAGAGATTCCAGAATATGGGGCCACAGCGAAGCCTTTCTCAGTCAATGCACCGTTGTACTATCGAACAAAGATGTGAAAACTTGCGTTAGAGAGCATTGGAACAAGTACATGTCTGCACAGAATGGGGGCTTACCCAAGAACGGCCGCTGTCGTAGCACGACTCGTGGACCTTGCTGTCGGCACCGATGAAGTATACGCGGATGCTGCTTAGACCCAGGGAGGTTGCGGAAACGGGGGTACCAATCCTGCCGCTTCCGATTACATTCGAGGAGGTACCACCAGTCCACCTGCCCTCATATTGGGTCTCGCGGATTTTACCTTCGATGTCTGTTTCGTAGACACGGAGGTGGGAGCCATTGTGGACGGCGGCGATAGAGGTACGGATAGCAATCTCGTTGACGGAGGCCATGATGATTTCAAGTAAGACGTCCGAGCGAAATGTTGTTGATATGGGAGTGAGAATCTGTAGTCTTTGTCTTTTTGTCTGAAAGTGTGATGGTCGAGAGGAAACGGCCAATTTATAGAGAATAGCATACCTTGCTGTTCTACGCGACGATATCAAAACTCCGGTTGGTAACTACTAGGTGAACTCGTGAGTGTCGCAAAACTCAACAAAAACATCCGATCAAGTCCAATCATGTTCCAAGACTGTCAATAATCCGTAGACTTGAACCGCCACGACCCAAATTGGTATCAAGATGGCTGGCTGAACCTCCCGCATCTTCGCTTTCAGCTGGCCTTGGGAAACATCTAGTCTGTTAGGAGTGGCTCGCCCCGGCATATGCATTATAGATATGCAGTAAGCTTTCGTAATACGGCAGTTTTGGGGATCGTGACGTATAGAAGATGACCTAAGTATGGGGAAGAGGGGCGAGGTTGCATCAACTACCCGAAGGGCGCGTCGACTATCGCTGCAAGCCTCCACCCGACGGCAGAGTCAACGCATTCGACCAACGTAAGCCGGGCATCAAGACGGCTCGATTGGTTGCAAGTTGTTGACCCCACACTCTTCAACAAGAGACGGATTGTCTAATTATTGGTTCAGATGTCGCTTTCAGCTGAGGCCATGTACGGCTTACCGGTTTCCTAATGTCATCTCATCTCCTTTCCGAGCTTTCGAAGAACCAATGGCTGCTTTTCGTCGTAGTTGGCTGCCGCCCAGCGATGCGGGGTTGGGGCCTATTGAAGTCAGATGCGTTAATATGCATGGATTGACCCGTATGTTGATTTTCGTTGCAGGAATATTGGTTTCAAGATCCACTAATCTGTGTCCCGACGTATCTTTGCGTTCTCGTGCCGGGAAGTAACATGAACAGTGCCCAGGCAGCAAATTCCCAAGGTATAGACATGCTTTCTGCAAGTAATCACATATTGACAGAGACACATTTTTCTCAGGTCTATGTCGTGGTTGGGAGGTACTCACAACTAGCCAGTTCGTTGGGTCACGGTATTTGGTGGTTGGTCGAGAACGCGGTAATGTAGTCCCATGTAAGTAGTTTTTCAGTCCATGCAAGCCTGACCTATAAGTGTTTGGGTATATTAGAAGCACTAAGTACTAACTACATTTATTACTATTCTCGCGCATTCCTTTTCGATGTACAAAAGTCAGCTAGAGCCAAATCGACATGCTGCCCCTTGCCATCGAGGGCACGTCGTCGTGTGCGGTGAGATCAATTTGGGTGAAACAACTTCCAACATCTCATTGACGTGCCTGATAGGGTGCACCAGAAGAACTATATACATCCCTTCTCATTCATGTCAAAGGGGAGCAATAGCTGTATTATTAAGTTTCCCCAGCTGGGTCAAGCCCTCCTGCAATAGCTTCCGCTTCTCGGTCATACGGCTTCGTTCGATGGACATGTCGGCGCTCTCACCTGCCAGCATCCCAACTTGTTCGTCTGTAAGATCACATATAACATCAGACGAAAAGATCGAGGCAAGTTTCTGGACTAGGCATTGTTCAATGGCAAGAACACTAACGTCATCAACGAATTTCTTCAATGCCACCTGTGACTCAAATTAGAATACATCACAATAAGTTAATCTGTAGCTCTATTGTGGAAGCTCTAGCCGGGGAATCGAAGAACATACTTTGTAATACGCTTCCATAGTGTCAATAGCAAGCATTGCAGCGTCATTTTCCATGTTCGGTTCCGTTGCCTTCTTTATAGCAGAGTAAAGCTGTGCTGGCGCCACAGATTGATAAAACGTCGAGGTTGGGTCCGCATATGTCTTGAAAGCCTTGCATATTTTGGAATTGTGTCTCTCGCTTTGCGCTTTCTGAATGCTTTCTGACAGATAATGATTATAGGTGATCGGGTGACCATTTGTGTGTGGCTGTAGAAGTTCTAGCATCTTATTCTCGACGGTACTTTCGAGAACAGTAAAGGCAGGGTTCAATAGACTGGCGATAAGTCTTGCAGCAGTCTCGGTATCCGCAACATGCTGCAGAATTGTGATGAGTGTCGCCCTCGCGTAGCCAGACACCGTTTCTACATGTTCTTTGGCGATCCTTGCCCACGGTTCACATTGGGCGCTGAACAATTCTCCAACCACTAATGGATTGAAAGTTCCGGGGAGCTCACGGCCTCTGTTACCTCTTAGCAGAGTGTTGACGTCTTGGACAAATTCGAGGCGAGGAACTTTCCGCGGTCGGAGCGCATCCGATTCCGAAGGTGATTTTGTCCAGGAAAGTTCATCTTCTACGATAGTTTTGGAATGCCCTCGAAGCCGCATGGACGTGACAAAATCGCTCAAAGTATTTGCCGAAGGTGATTTGGCCGTGGGTTGTTCGTCTTCCACAATGGTTTTGGAATGCCCCCGAAGCCGCATAGACATGGCAAAGTCGCTCAAAGAATTTTGTATCTGGGCACGGAGCCTTCTTTTATTACCGTTTGGCGTATTGGACACTCCAAAGAAACGGCGATCGGAGTAATCACCATCGACAGCACACTTGACTAAAGCGACAAATGCCTGGCTGAGGGAGAAGAGATAACGGCGCTGTTCAGCAACACTCTCTCTGGCCTGACCAAGCTTTTCAAGTGCTGCGTCACAATCCGCCACTCCACTTTGAATGTCGTCAAGCACACGAGGCAGATGGGACATGATGTGATCCTGCAAGACCCGACTTAGTCGAGTCCGCAATGCATCCACGCCGACTTGCTTCGGGCTGAGAGAAGTCCAAACTCTCTGGGAGAAAAAAGCTTTCTCCGCAATATCACGCTCCGCATTCGTGGCGTTCCGCATGTTGAAGTCCCGATTCCTCACAACATGCCAACCGAGACGGAACTTCACATCCTTGTTCTGTGCGAGCTCCAGGTATGCCTTCTCACTCTCCGATCCCACATCTAGGGTGTCAGGCTTGGTGATGAGCCCGAGCGTACGGTCTCCGTTAACGTCCACCTCCCTTGCCCGTTGAGTGACCTGCTGGAGCGCAAACTCGCTTTTTGCAGCAACGACAGCAAGTATGATGCTCCGCGGTTGCTGCATGTAAGACAGAACCAGAGATTCCACAAGTTTGGCATCCTCGAGAGATTGATCCTTATTGCCTGCCATAAACAAACCAGGAAGATCTACCAAAGTGAGGTGTGGCTGGTCAGGAGACGCGACTTCCACACGGAGAATATCAGTGCAGAACACCCTGTCTGTGCCAGTCAGTCCCATCACGCCCATGGCTTCATCAATGATTTCATCAAGATTCAGCTCTTTAATATTTGCGCCGAATTCCTCGATCTTTTGGCGCTCGTCAGCAGAGCGGTCCTTCCCCGGGATGATGGACACTTTCAGCTCTGGTTGATCCCTTTCCGACGATCGACGAAGGACCAGCTCAGTTGCAAATCTCGTGCACAACGCATCCTTTGTTGGGAAGGCCAGTCCTGATATAGCTTCCAGAACAGAGCTTTTTCCAGAGGATTGATCGCCGCATACGATGATTTGCGGCAGGTCAATGTACTGGCTGATTCCTTGAGACCGCAGGGAGTCAATGATGTCGAGGACATCTCGACCGCCTTTGGACTGCAGGTTTGGGCGAGCGTGCTGGGTCATTTTCGGTGTCCGGTCTAGGTAGTTGTAACCGCCTGCGGCTTATTGGCTTCGGGCTTGAATCGACAGCGATTTATGTGTGATGGAGAGCTCTGACTAGATAGATGAAGGAGGGTAGGATAAATAGAGATCTGGCGAGCGACCGTCCTGATGGCAAGGGAGTCACCAGTGTGAAGATTTATTGAATTTTGATTTTACATAGCTGTAGGCTTAGGCTAGTAGAGCTTAGTTTTGCCTTTCGTATTCATTATGTTGAGATATCAGGTTCTGGCATCTTCTATTGTTGTTTTTAACTTTACACTCAAACTCTCCCGTATTCTTCAAACATCTAGCCAGGTACTTCTTAGATCGAGAATGTAGGTTGCCTGCTCATTTGGGACTCTAATTGTGAGAACAAGATTTGAACGTCTTTCTACACTGTTTTGACTCGTGCGGTAGTCTTATTCAGTTTCACTTCATGGGTACAAAGTCAACACCACGCGGCACATGAAAATAGGTATTAAGCCCGAATTCTCACGTCAATCTATACCGACTTCCAGGCAAGGTTCTTTTGAAACCCATCAAGTAGGCGTGAAAAGGAACAAATATTTCAAATAGTACACGGGGAGAATCCATATATTGAAAAGAACCTAGTTGCGAATCGCAAGGGTTGTATACTAATTCTACTTCTAATAACCGTTCTGTCCCCCAACCTGAAATCACCAAAACTCTTACGATGATTCGTGCCCAAACGCCGCGCTGATCTATAAGTTGCCCGACAAAATCCCACACAGAAAAGGAAAATATTTTTTAGAAGAGTATGATTCAAGATAGACATCAAAAAGACACCATGTAGTCTCGCCCAAGACGAAACCCCCACCTAGAATGGTTCTGAACGCTTCAAACTGTTTTTAATTCTGGTAAACCGACCCTCTCGTGTAGGTGTCGTATTGATGTTTGGTGAAACAGATTTGGACACAGGTGACGTGACTGGTGTTTTGTCGTCTCCACCCTGCGTTATGCTTCCGAGGATTAGCTCGTTGACATCTTGGCAATTCCATGGTTTGGCGTCAACGATATCTTTTCTGAAAATGACAAGGTCAATTAGCTGAAATGATTCTTGGGTTGTGAAATGGATTGCAAGACTTACCGGGCTTCAAGTTCGTCGTCGAGAAAAGCCAGCCGCTTCAGTGCATTCTCATCATCTCCAAAAGAGACGAACTGAATGCTGAACCAACGATCCTCCATCCGATCCTTGATTTTTTCTAGGCGTTTGATGAATTTGATTATCAGATCTTCTACATCTCTTTTGTTGCTTGATCCTTCCCACTTCCCATTTGTTAATATGATGAGAGTCTGCCTCTTCTTGCCATCTCCATCGATATACTCATCGAAAACTTTGGAGAGTGCTGCACACATATCAGTGCGAATACCTTCGTGTATTCTGCGCTCAACTTCATCCATAGATGCACTGAATTTGGACTTGATGTCGTATCCTTTGATGTTGCTCAAAAACCCATGATTCCCACAGGAATAACGAAGGTCTAGCCCGTCCTTATCAAGCGGACCAATTTTCATTGCTAGTGTCAACAATGTTCGCTTAGCATCTGACCAGTGAGGGGTCATGGTTGGGTCATTGTCGACTACGAAAATCTGAGGCATTGCGTCAGCAAAGGTGGTTATTCTCGACGTGGGTGAAGGATGAACATACGATATCTCGATCCATTATAAAGCTTTGAAGAAAGTTGTCTTTGGGAATTTTGTTTATGAACAAATTCCAAGGGTTTCGTTTCCATTGTTCATTAAGTTTGTCGTATTCTTCGTCGATGGCAGTTCTCACGACCTGTGTGCTCTTCCCCGAGTAGATTGACATGGAACTTGGAGAGCTTTGTTTCGGCCCTTGAAATGAGAGGGATTGCTGGATATTGCCTGGACTCCAGTCGACCGCCTTCTCTTTTTCGTCGGCATAGTACGACTTGTCAGAGGTACCATTCGTTGCATGAGATGAAGGCGTGTTTGGAATTTTTAGTCTGTTAGTGTTCAGAACTTCTTCCCGATTGGCAGTTTTTCCATACACAATCCTATTCAACGCTTCGGATTTTTGGACTCGATTCGTTCTTGATTTGTGAATTGCCGATAGCCCCCGGCCGGAGTGGCCAGCTGCTGATGGATGCGTGAATAGGTATTTTGCCTCTGTTTGAGAGAGCGATTGCGCAGACTGAGGCGCTGCTTCGTCAAATTTGAGCAAGGCTTTCTGTATCCTCTTAGACTCCTTTGCCAACTTTCCGTCTTTCACTAATGTGTCATAATCGGATTCTGCCTTAGCAAGAATGGTTTTTAGCCTGGTTTTTAACTCAGCAGCGGATAGTCTTCTCTCTGGGTTGCTGAGAAGCATCTCGTTATCAACTAGGTCTAGGACTTGACAAGATATTGTGTCGGAGGCTCTGACTGAGTTTCGTAGATGCGTGTGCCAGTCTGTAACAACACGAAGGACGTTCGATCCATCGTGAAACGCGTCATCGCAGTTGGGACCTGGTGGATGCGACAACCCTCGGCCGTGTTCACGAAGAGTCTTGATGGCACCCTGGCGGATGAATCCATAGGTCTGGTAGGATGTCGGGCCTAGTATTACCCATGTTGCGACAACAGAGAACACGCAGCCGAGCGACCAGGTATCGATGCTTTGGGAGTGCATGTTGCCGGCGTCGGCACTGCTGCCGCTACCGTCACGTTCAGGAGCACCTAGACGCTGAGTGAGTAAAACTTGCTGTTAGTTTCTCAATAGGACCCAACTTACCGAATGTTCGCGTTCCACCCATGAGCTCCGTTTTATCACCATCTTGTTCAAATCTCGCAAACCCAAAATCGGCTAGTTTGAACTGGCCACGAACTGAGAGGATATTGTCAGGCTTGATATCTCCATGCCAACTAATTTTGAATACTGTTAGATTGGTAAGATATACGATTGTTGTGGTTTAAGATAGCGCACCCTTTGAAGATCTGTCTATTGCCACCCTCATCTTTACGCTTGAGTTGATGGATCCCGTCAAGCGTAAAGCCAACTTTAAACAAGTTGGCCCAGAAGGCGAATATCTCTTGATATAAGACAGGAGGAAACCTCTCCCACATGTACTCCTCCAAGTCTTTCTCTCCTAGCTCAAGAAGGATGTGGTGAAGATGGTCACCATTGGTAGTATGGTATTCACCCAAATATCGAACCACAGTGAGGTCGTCTTGTTCCATGATCCCTTTGAAAGCGTTACTTTCTTCTCTATAGACATATTCATGCCCCTTGAAGTATGACTTGACCGCAAATTCTAAGTACTATGATGTTTGTTAGCTTTAATGTCTAAGAGTGGTCAATTCTCAGGTACCTACAGCACCGTGCTCTGGATCATTCTTCATGGAGGGTTCTAGAACTTTTTTTAATTCCGGTCCTACAAGATCAACTTGTATCTTGCAATGATAAACCACAGCTGTGCCCCCACCGTTGATCTCTTCCATGTAGAAAAAAGGGAGGATTGTCCGAGGGTAGGAAGTAGCCTGTCCTTGGTAACGCAACGGCAGAGACACATAAGCCCAGCGGTTCTGCTCGAATGCGCGGATCACTTCACTATACCCTCCAGCCTTGTATCTCTTCGGTAGTCTGATAGACTCGGTCCGTAGATGCGCGTCGATCGACTCGTAGTGGCCAGAGAGGATAGGGCTCGAGAGCGTTTCGCTCGAGGTTATCGATCGCGAGAACACATCGAACATATGGCCGCATTCCATTTCGACCAAAATGGAAAAGAGTATTGGGTTCTTGAGAATATTGTCCGAAGACGGGGCGAATGCATGAGAGTCCTTGTGGAACTTGTAGACCTGGCCGGCGAGTGTCGTGACATTACGGACGCCGCCTTGCTTGCGCGACAGCCAGCTCTCAATATTGGCCGTATGGTAGAACTTTTGTTGTTCAAAGTTGAATCGGCATACTTGGGGACTACGAAGAAGGTCCCGAAATTCGGCGTAAATGTCGTTCGTTATCGGCGGAAGAACAGCCATAGTTGCTGCTCTGTCCGAAGGCTTGACTCTGTGACGTTTGTCGGTCGGTGTGGGCATCGTGCCGATGAGGGGCGTGCGGGGAGGCACAATAGAGGCCCTTGTACTTTACAGGGCAAATTTATAGCAGGTATCTTATGGTTCTTCGGGTAGCAAGAGCCGTTCCCATCGCACACAGGAACAGGTGTCCAGATCGTGGCTGAAGGTATATGAGAGGGGGAGGCGGACTCGAGAGAAACAGCACTGGGGCGAAGCTGGGAGCCGAAAGCATGCAGCTCATTCAGCCTTCAGCAGCCTCAATGGCTGAAAAGGGGTCCCAGCCGAGCCGTGTGTGGCAGAGATATCATAATGGTTGACAAGACAGGTGGGGATGCCAGCACAGTGTATCATATTTCTCAGCGTTCAGCCTACTCTGATTTGAAGGATTTATGCGCCTCTAATGCAGGCGCAAGCGCCACAGCTGATATTGGAGTGAGACCTGCAGCGCAATATAAGCAAGTCTGCTGACCAGTGACGCATGGCCAGTTGTCGCGATCCCGAGACACACTGCCTGGGCGTATTAGAGAGCGCAATATGAGAACAAGGCTCTACCCCCTGCAGTTAGGCATCTGGTTGCCTTGCAGTAGTATCTTCGTGTAACCCTAAAGTGCTACGTGATGAAATCCGCGGTCCATTTTACTTGAGACAATCTTACTTCAGAAGTCTTGGCTTAATGACTTTTATTTTCGGCTGTATTCAAAATTTCCGTGCACATACATTGATACCTGTTGTAGTTGAATAGTGGGAGTAAAGTTTCTGCTTTTGAAAAAATATGTCTTTGTCTTGCCTTTATGTGAATGTCAAAGTATGTAGGGAACTTTTGTCTTAATATTCATTTTAGTCAATTTCAGTTATCTGCAGGCTCAAGTGATATGAGAAGGAACAAAAGCAATGAACGGCAGCATTCATCCACCGGCAGATGGTCTGTGGTTCTGAATATTGGTCATGGGGAGGGTCATGGTAGTTTCTGAGGACTGGACTTTCGGAACACAACCCGCCAGTGAATCTGCCGAAGATTTGAGGATTTCTGCGCCCGTATTCTTGGCGTATCGAGCCCATTGGTGCAAGGCGTTCTTACTTTGCCCGTACGTTTTGGTGAATTGTTCTTGTAGGCGCCCCTTTTCTTCTTCTGCTTGATTTATTCTCGGCTTCTCTGATAAACGATTCGCTCGGCGCTCTGCCCACAATTTACCTCCATATGCGGCGCTCATTGTGATGAACATCAGAGGCAGCGTCACTTGCAACCAGCGGTACATTGCTACTTTTGAATACGTACCCTCTGCCTGTATCTCATCTTGGACCTGGTACTTGATGATGTCGGTGCTGAATAAGGTCTATGTAGCAGAGAGGAGGTCAACAAGGGGCACCATGAGAAGATTCGCCCGATGGTAATGACTTACCGAAACAAAGGTGGCGGGCAGGTAGAGTAGTGTGACAATTGTGATGATCCGCATCACTATTGCCTCATTTTCCAGATTCTTATTTAGTCTTTCCATCCGCTGCTGCTTGACGAGCTCTGATCGATTGCTGATCACTTTTACCAGAGCCTTTGCTCTGGATATATGAAGTTTGAAGTCGTTAATTAAATGCCCCAATTCGCTCGTGAAGTCGTCAATATCGAATGCGCAATTACCAAAATCAACACTTTGGTTCACGACGAGCTTTTCGTAGAAATCCCTTAGGGACGTCATCACTTCGACGTTGGATTCTAATGATGTGATCACTTCGCTAATCCTTTCTTCGTACATGAGTAGCTTTTGAATGTCTCCAGCAGTGTATATTCGCCGTTGCCGACCTGGCTCACTGCTGCCAACCACTGCGATTTTTGTCTGTGTTGAATTGTTAACAAAATTGACGGCCACGCGATGCTCAGCCCGCATTCTTTACGTACTTCATTATCCACGATCAATTCAAGCCACTTGATATAACCGCGCCAGCCTTCCATAGACCAGTGACAAAACAGAAGGTGAGCAGCTAAGCTTGACCGTAAACATTCGTCCAAATTATTGAATGATTTATCTTCGGGACGGGCGTCAGGACCTGTCAGCTCCTTGAATCGATCCTCGATATCAAGCCCTCCCTTAGTGACAATCCACAGGGCATTCCCATTCTCCACATCGAAACGATGGTAAAAAGCGGCGGGTCGAATAGAATAATCGTCAAGAGATGAATCTTCAGGGTGCTGACCTTTTAGGGTCACTCCTTTGAGGTTATAGCAGAGCTGATACTGACGACCAGACCGTGCAAGTGGCTCAATTGCTAGCGATGATTTGCTGGCTCTGAATGACCTCTGTTCACGAAAGCTGCTAAATCGATGGTCTCGAGGCTCGCTCTGTAGACCAAATACAAACATGAAATCTAGGTAGTCGGGCATCACTTGGTGAAATGTGAATATTTCAGTCAGCATAGGACGGGTGATTCTGAGGCAAGCTAGAGTATGTTCCCCAAAGATATAACTAAATTATCACAATCAACAATCTATTCTTTGATAATATCCTAAAGTAAACTCCTCAAAACAAATAGGAAGGAACTCACATGAATCGGCACTTGGGGTCTTTGATTTCTGCAACAATTTGATTTGATTGACCACTGCTAGATGACCTTGGACTAATTCCCATATATCTCGTCAGAGCCTCATGGCTATGAATGACCTTGTTTCTGGCGCTCTCTTCTGGGCATTTAGTACTATATCTAAACAACCCAAGATTGGCTTGAATGGACATACTTGTGCTGGTCCCGTTGTTGGGTTTCAGATCTCGAAATGAAACTTCGATGTCCTTCAAATTGGGTTCGAAAAGGTCTCCGGCCACCAAGTCTAACCTATCACTGCATTCTTTTAAAGCGCTGGGATAGGTTTTGATGTCATTCAGGATATAGTTCCGCGGGTAGCGGTCCTTCTCCAGATATGATCTTTGAAACTCGGCAGACAATGCCATCGTTGAAAAAATAGATAGCTCAGATGAGAATAGATCTAAAAAAGTTGCTGCAATTGAACTTCGCTGTAAGAAAAGCCAAAGGTGGTGAGTTCTATTTCTATCAAAAAGTCTAGATGCATTTTCACCATGTGATGAATCCAGCCTCGTCGGTCACCATGGCAAAGCGCATGGCTTTTGCACAAGCATGGCGCAGTCTGGAACAGGAAAAGGACCGAAGCTGCTGACATGCATCTTCCACCATCCTTTCAGCTCTTGGCCTTGGCCTCACAAAAGCAAATGACCCGTCACACAGTTGTGGGGTTAAGGCAGCCACTATGTATGTATCAGTCCAGAAACAAACAAAGCTGAACACCATTGCCCCCTAGCCTGATTCTAGGCTGGAAATTGTCAATATACATAGGCATCGCCCCCGCCACTCTCGTTAATCTAGCTGAACTTGTCAACCTTGGCGGTGTTCATCCTTTGAGCGACCTGAACACGAAACCGAGAGGAAGGATTCAGCATTGGTGAGACACACTACGACGAAAATTATGCCTGATCACCCGCCAGAAGTTCCCCGCCGCCGACACACAGCCAGCTCGGCCGCCGACACTCCCAAGCCTTTCCTTCGCCGATGGACATACAATTCCAATGCCAGTAGCCACGCCTCACGGAGCCATGCTACGACCCAAGAGCGGTACCCGACCTACAAGCTCACATGGGAGGCTCTAGGCGGTTATCTTGAGGGCATATGGCCGAACTGGAAAGCCGACAGGGCAAATGGCCGTCAGGTATTCCCTACCAGACCAGACCTCCTTCCGAAGATGCAATATGATGCTCACTATAAGCTCAATTAGGTCGGCGACAGTTGGGTATTCGATGCCCCTAGGCCCCTTACTTCGGTATATATCGACTTAACCCGAGATTGAAATGAAAGGATGCCTGACTTAACACTATATATTAGGACGACCGTAAGAAGATTGCAGCTCTTCGCGACAGCAAACCGCTTGCTCGAAGGTCATCCACGTCCGAAGATGAAGAATAATGGATACACCAATGAAGAAACATGATGACAATGATGATGATGAAAATACCATACAACCAACACAAAATTCTTTCCTTTGTCTGCAAATGTGGGATTGAGAATGGGGCTTTCATTTTGGGGCACATTGTGGTTCGCATGAAGGCGACCGCTGACTGCCTGAGAGGGGTTACATCACATGCAAGGCGCACACCACTACGAGGAACTGTGTCGATCACACTGTGCGCCGACCTGTGCACTTTTGTGCAGCTACTGGGTACTCCGATGTAAGCGTGGGCACGAATGAATACTGGCTGTTTACTTCTTGTAGGCTGGACGAAGGCGCAGCTGTGTTTTCAGCCCGTGAGTGAAACCGAGCGCCTTGTGATGATTCTTCAGGGGCAAGCTTCGATGCATCACTTACTTGGGCCGCCACCCGTCGATTCGTAAGCTATCAATAAGAACAATAAAGGGGTGACTTTCTTTGGTGGAGCGAAGCTATGTACAATCGTGAGCTCAACTTATATAGGAGTGCAAGGAGAACGTATGATGTGACCCGTTACTACATGTATTTCCTTATGCACTTAATAAACAACACGTCCATAAACCTACATCCCTAGAATTAGGCCGAGGCGTTCGGAGGAATGAATCTCCAACCTCAATTCAGGGAGTCTTCATGTGCTCATATATGTTCTAGTGGTTACCATTATCCAATCTAATGTGATCCTTATTCTACGGCTTAGGATAATTTCTCATTTCACCCGATAGATACATTCAATCCTGAACTTCTCCCTTCGATCCGCGACAAGATTGATCTACACCAATGATGCTCAAAAGGGATGAGATGGGTATGCGCCTACATTCCAAGAACTCAAGGAATGTAGGATGCTCAACGGTGTCGCAGCCAACGAAACTACTGGCGCACATGCCAAACAGTGTTGCAGGACTACTTCTATGCTGAGATTCAATGATAATAGATGTTTCTCAGAACTGGATAGTATACGGAGTACTTGTTGCGGAATAAATGTGGCTTGCGCATCCTCAAATGATGGCTACCTACAAAGTTCCGTCATGGTGAAAAGCTGAGACATTATCCGAGGAAATTTCCAATTAAACAAAATCAGACTGGGCCGTGTTGCACACATCGTTACCAGGAGGATTCAACAGGAATGTCAGCGCGCCTAGTCAAACCTTCCCGTGCGAGGGAGAGAAATTATCAATATATTAATGCGAAGTTGCCATCTGCCTGATTTTCGAATCTCCAGTCCATCTTTTCCTACATCTTGTTGGAAAGCTTTCCCGACCAGCTGAGATATTGAGCATGAAGGCTTTACTCACCCTTCTTTTAGCCTCTGTTGTGGCTTGTAAGCCTACCGTTTATCTCATCCGACATGGTGAGAAGCCAGCGAATGGATCCAATGGCCTAAGCATTGAGGGAGTTGAACGTTCCCAGTGTCTCCGTAACGTGTTTGGAAAGGCCTCGGGCTACAACATCGATTATATCCTGGCACAAGAGTATAAGCCAAGTGAGTGGTATTCCCATATCGACTTAACCTCCCACCTTCTAACTTATAATATGATGTAGGCGGCAAGGAAGACCGACCCTATGAGACAGTTCTCCCTCTATCAGAAGATCTTGGTCTCAACATTGACACTCACTGTGACAGAGATGAGCCTGAATGCGTAGCTAAGGCTGTCAAGGAGTATAAAGGAGATGGGAATGTTTTAATCTGGTATGTTCCAGACCATGGCCTGTTTTGGCGAGTATCAAACACTAACGGCTCAATGCGTAGCTGGGAGCACCACAGGCTCACAAATATCACCGAGGCTCTGGGCGTCAAGGATACGGAGGAGTACCCATCTGATAGGTTTGACATAATCTGGACGTTGTCCAAGAACTACAAGTACATCAAGGATAAAACGTCCGAAGGTTGTCCGGGATTGGATGAAAAGTATATTGGGGAGGAACAGGACTTTTGTGAAGAGGAACAGGACTCTTATAAAGAGGAACAAGACTTTTGTGAAGAATATTAGAATCAAGATCATGTATTCTGCAAACTATCTTTATGACCTCTAATATGGAGGTTAAGAACCCACCAAAAAGTATCATTGCAATTGGCCATGTTCCTTGAAATGAAACTTTATCATCAAAATATACTTTCCAGAGGGTTCTTAAGTATAAGTGTAATTTATTTCTCCTTGAGTCTATAAAGGATATTGAAGATAGCATATGGAATTATTGAGAAGCCTTTTATTGGACTTGTAAACTTCTTGAGCTCCCGGTGTGCTTCCGAGAACAAGCCCAGCTTTTCACCTCACAATTTGACATCAGACCACGACCTTCTGTTTAACAATCTCCTCGCTGAGAGCCCAGAGCTTGTCGGCAACTTGATCACCGATAATGTGATCAAGCTTGGCACTATCCGGCACAATTTGACAGTCCATGAGGTACTCACCAGGCGTGCTTGCCAGAGTTGGATCCAGGGCTGCCCTCAGAGGAGTCGAGGTGCCGCAAGCCAGAGGCTTCTTTTCCTCGAACGGTGGCTTGTCCCTGCCCTCCCAGGCCTTGTCATAGGCAGCTCCTACACTCGCCCACACCTCTCGGTCGACAGTGTCCTGCAAGTTCGTCTCAAGGACAAGCCCAGGGGTGGCGGCAAAGGAAGTCACGTTCAGGTGGCGAAGCTTGCTAGCGAGAGCGCGTGCAAAGATGATGTTGGCTGATTTGCCCTGGCCGTATCCGCGCCATGGGTCGTATTCTTTCCCATCCTGGAAGTTGTAGTCAGAGCGGATCCCCTCGAAAATATAGCCGTTGCTCGACAGATTGATGATGCGCGCCGGGAGCGTGAGGTCTCCCGCTGCCTTTGCGGATGCGGCCGCCTGCTTGATGAGCGGTAACAAGAGCCCCGTAAAGAGAAAGTGGCCAACGTGGTTGACGGCAAACTGGACCTCGATACCATCCACGCTCTTAGCAAAGTCTTTTGTGGCCATGATGCCGGCATTGTTGAAGAGATAGTCGAGGCGGCCGGTTAGCTGGGCAACGTCTTGGGCAGCCTTGCGAACAGAGGCGAGGGAGCCAAGGTCGAGCGAGACGATATGGACCCTGACTGACGGCTTCAGCCGGCGGAGTTCGGCCGCGAGGGGCTCAATCTTGGAAAGGCTGCGCCCTGCCAATATGATACGTGCTGGTGAAGCACCCTCAACAAGGTCGGAAGCAATCTTAGAGCCAATGCCGCCAGGGCTCGGGCCAGTGATGAGAACTATGGGCGGTGATATTGTCAGTTGTGTATTGTTGGGATTTGTGTTACAATAAGTGTGTATTTAGTAAGATATTCTCTATCTATAGATAGGATATTGACTTGTGATGATGTTGTATTGTTGGGATATCGTAAGAAGCGTTTGGCTTACTGGTCTTTCCGTTGACTCTGTCGGCATATGCTTGGACGACAGAAACGCCTGTGGTGTTGAAGCCCCATTCGAGAGAAGTCATCTTGGTAAGTGTGGTAAGGAGTTACAGAGTAAGCTTTAGTCTTGAATAGTAGTCGCAGGAGAAGCGTTGTAGTCTGTTCTGGTGTATAAGGACTTGGTTGTCTGGTTATTGGTAAATTGCCTGAGATGGATCTTTATATACTTTCTCGCCTACTTGACATACTCCATTCAGATCCATAGAATGTCACATCAAGCTGATCAAGCAAAAATGACAAATGCTAATGGATGGTAGTCGTTGGCGACGTATTTGGATACATTAGGCATTGGTTTGATTTCTCAGCCAGCTGCAGACTCTTTTGCGACTTTTGACAGAAACTAGCATGTCCGGGCTTCTACGTGGAGACTCCATGCATCGCGCATCACCTTTGAACACTTCGAGCTTAGAAATATGAGCCTGTATTAAAAATCCAGTAGACAGTGGGCGACTGATTAGACAAGCTTGCAGAAACGGCGTCAAGGCTAGAGCGGAGGCGCACAGGCCGCCGTGATGTTCATACAGATTTTCGGTATGCTTGAATGATTCAGAGCGGACACTGCCCGCTCTTTGTGCCGGGGTTGTGCCTAGGCTTCTCTTTCTGTCACTTGGAACAGTCGAGTTACCTTGGACTACCGTGGTTCCTGGCCTCAAGGCTAATCAGGAGTTTCGGTCTCATCAAGGAGTTACGGTCATGAATTCAGACCAACTTTATTTTTATCTACTAACTACAGATGGTTCATAATTAGCTTATCTTAGCGTAGGTGATCATGTAGGCTTTGAGAAAATAGGGTATGGTGCGCCCATTTGTCAACGAGTCATCATGGTTACATATGCCCTCAGAGCGGAGTGGAGACACTTTGCCCGCTTCTATAAAGCGGACGAAGCGGCCCTCTTCTCGGCTCTAGAATGCGATTCTTGTACGATTCTGCCTCTCTGAGCGGCATTGCTGATCAACTTACGCGGATGACGCTTGCCGTTTGCCGCTTCAACTGACCTACTCCGGAGTCTCTACTGTCTTCTTGCAACTACCCACGCGGTACAAGCAAGCCAACATGCCGCATGTAGCTTCTCAGGCCTGCATAGCCTGCCGGTTCGTCCCTCCGTGATTGTATTTTGTGCTCGACCCATCATTGGGAGTGACCTAACAAGGGACAGGCGTCTGAAGCGGAAATGCTCTCGGGATATCCCAAGCTGCGTGCTTGTGCGTCTCCAAATAAACCGCCAATCGATAGGTAGACTGCTGACTTGTTAAAAGTGCCAACGGCTGGGCAAAGACTGCGAGTATCCTGTATCTGCGAGTGACGGCAACTCTGCCGTACGGGTGCATGCTCTCCATCATAAGCTCCTTCGGGGCCCAGACCACCCTTTTCCTCAGGCATTCTTCCTCGATCAGGACCTGCATATTCCACTTCGTACGATGCAGTTGGCACAATCGGTCCAGCCAGAACTCAAGTTGCACGTCGCCCAGTACCTCAGTGTGGACAGCCCCACGCTTTATAATGACTATCATGTCAAGGTCCATACCTGGTTACCCATGCTCAGCAGGAAGAGGCTATTAAATCAAGGTGTCGAAAGTTCCGAAAGGACAGATGCATGCCACCCCCTGCTCCTCCTGTGTATGGAGCTTTGCAAGGCAGAATGCGGAGGCTCACCCGGGGATTTCCATCTATATACGGCAGCAAAGACGCTTAGCTCGGCGGTGGAGCAGGCTGGATATCTGTCGCTGCGCCTCGTCCAAGCCCTTGTTCTGATTACTTTTTACGAAGTCTGCCACGGGCTTCAGCCAGCGGCATATCTGACGGTTTCTAGGGCAGCACGGGTCGGTTCCTTGGTCGGTCTGTACACCTCAGGATACAACTCCACTCTATTCCAGCAAGTTTCTACTTGGACTGCAGGCGAGGAGGCGAGACGGACCTGGTGGGCCATCTTCATCCTCGATAGGTAGCCATGACTCTTTCCCAGGGTTTCTCAATAGCTGATCAAGACGCGATATAGATACTTACTCATCGATGCGCCTGGATTGCCCTTCTCCCAACAAGATCCGACTGCCCAGGAGCTACTGCCAGTCAACGACGGTGACTGGGAGGCTGGAAATACCGTCGCCAGTGAGAGCCTCTACACTTCATCCTTTAGTGGAAATACGGTCCTCGGTCCGTTTGCTATGCTGTGCCAGGCATCCAATATCCTGAGCAAGATTTTGCAACACAAGATGAGCCGGAAATCCGCATCAGTGCCCGTTGAGCAACTCATGGAGGAAGCAATGCATCTTCACCGGACGTCGTCAGCATTACAGGCTTCCATCCAGGCGTCATCAGAAGCTTCCGCCGGTGACAGCTGCCCTTTCACATCTGCATCAGCCGTGTGTTCCGTGGCTCGATTGTGTCTCTATAATCTCTACGCATGCAACTCGACGCAGAATGGCCGAGGCATCTCCACGCCCATGCAGGCTGATCTCCAGTGTCTCAGCTTGCAGAATATCTCTAGTCTGGTACATACTGAGATTCCTGAGCTCGCGCGCCAGAGGAACGCGTCTCCGTTTCTGGCTCACTGCCTGTACTATGCTGCCAGTGAAGCTGCCTGGATCGTGAGGGAAGGCTGCGATGCCGTGACAACGGCTATCTTAAAGGATCTGCTGGATGGGTTGCGATCCCTTGAGTCCTCCTATTCCGTGTCGAGTGAGTCGCTCTATGGTCAACGGTTTGCCAGTGCTAACACCAGATCTCATAAGGTCATCTTCTATCTCTCTTGCAACAAGAGGGAGTCTTGGGGTTGGTGGACTCAGAACGTTATACATTGCCAGAGTTTCAAGATGGAGACGAAGAGATGTCATCAACAATGAGCGGCGAGTCCTGACTACGTAATGGAGATGGAGTGTAGGAAATCTAGTCATATCTTCAGGATAATATGCGCCTTTGTAACTCCTCGGTTTTTAAGTTCATCGGCGAGTCTTCTTCATGCGGGATAGATAGTCGGGTGCTCGTGATTTCAGCGTGACAGTTTAGTAAAAATATATCCTATCAATTTCAAACACTTCTTAGAATGGAAAAGCCAACATGTTCAGCAAGTACTTACAGGACGTAAAGTGCAGTCCGCTCATACAACATTGCCCTTCACTGTGTAGGAAAATACCCCAACAAGATTATACGTTTTCAAAAAGCTAGGGTTCCCAACCGGCCCATGTTATTCTTACCTCTCCACATCTGACGGCGACTAAAAACTTTCATCCGACCCAGTTCAACCTGTAATTTGCTCGCTGATTGGTAATCTTGTTCGGACGGGTCCCGTAAAGCAACTCTTACTTGAAATCGCAGCATTCGTCCATAGCCTCAGCCTTGTTGATTATCAATCCACGGCAGCTATTCTGCTCTGTCATCCATTAGGATGCATAGATTGTTGAGTACACTGGTTTATACGATTCAAAGGTTGCAAACAAGGTAGATATGAATATAAGATCAACGAGACTGCCCTTCAGTGTCCATTTCTCAATCTCCTAACAACATTCTCATCCACTTGATATCCCACAAAAATCCAACTTGTATATCATCTCAGGCTATCTCAAGATGTATAGCTCCTTCTTTCGCGTCGTCGCCTTTGGGATCCTCAACTGCAATGTCCTCGCTGCTCCCTCAGGGTCACAGCCCGTGCAGCGCCCTCCTGGACTCTGGCCACATCTAGCCGAACAAGGTCGCGCTTCTCGACCTCTGATCGACTTCATAGAAGGGTACTTCACCGCCAAGAACCTACATCAGCCAGAGGCTTGGGCAGCCTCCTTCCATCCTACTGAAGGGACATACGGAGATGCCGGCCTCGGCAACCTCTTCTCCCAACCGGAGCTATCGCCCGTTATCGGGACTTTTGTGAAGGCTTGGGGACCTGATTCTAGATCGTATCCCCTGCGCATCGTGGGTGACACCAACAGTGCCCTGCTATACATGATTGACACGCCGGACATGTTCGGCGACGAGCTTCGCATCCTTGTGGCCTTGGACTTTAAAGACGACTTGATCGTGCGGGAGGTAGATTACTGGGATCCTCGACGAAACACCGCGGCTGAGGCGAATAGGGTGCCACCGGAGCAGTATCCGTCTGACTTCGCCTCGGCCCTATCCTCCAACACGACCAATGCCACCCTTCGGAAAATCGTGAACCAGTTTGCGTCTGCGCTGTCGAACGGAGGTTACGAATCCGCTGTTTCGCTGCTGGCACCAGACGTCGTGCTGGAAGACTTCTCCCTACGTGCCAGGATCGACGGTCGACTGGGGGTTGAACAGTACTTGAAGCGGGCCGTGGCTTCGCTCCCGTACGGCACTGGCTCCGTCGTATCTCATATCGTGGGCAACGAAGATGGCGGTGCTTACGAGTGGACTGGCACGCCGGAGGCTGCTGGCCGTAACGGGATAACTGCCATTGAACTCGACGAAGGGCATCTTATCACTCGGCTCACTAGCATATGGGATACTTTCAATGCTAGTAACAGCACTATGCAGTCGTTGGTCGGGCTGTCGATTGAGCCTTGAACTTTCTGTTTGGCCAAGCTGGTGATCGGTTTTGGTCGGATGAATAGCATTTGGAAGGCAAGGGTTATAGCCATGACGATGAGGCCCATGCCGAGTTTAAAGGTCTTGTGATAGTGTCGTATAGGCTTAGCTTGGACAAAATAAAATGACACTGTATTACCAAGTACTATTCACCAGCATTTTGACGACTTCTACTTATCCCAAAGAACGAGCTGTGCCATGTAGAGCTAGATTTGTGTAATTATTTAGATCGCCACCAACAAACATTGGGCGATGAAAATGAGCAAATAGGATACTAAGAGGCCTTTTCACATCTGGCCTTGTGAGCATCAAACACAGTTCTCAGTGAATATTTATATCTTGTCTTGGTTTTTCACGAAGTTGTAAAAGGGCAGAGGTTGTATCGATGATTGACCTGCTCGCGGTTCCCTATGAACGGTTTGATTTAGAATGACGTCTGTGAGAGCTATCGAGTACTCGCAAAATTATCTCCCGCCACCGGATGGAACTCAACTTGGGTGGAGAGCCGGCAAAGAGCGGACAAAAAGTGGATGAAGAGCGGACAGAGAGCGGACAGGCGCAGCATCGGCTTATAACCTGTGGAGTCACTTTTTAAACCAAATGCCGGTTTGCGGATGACTATAGTTTAGTCACGAGTTAGTGCTGAGCTCACATCTCATAGGGGGCAAAGAAGATTGTCGCATCGCCATGTGAGATTCGTATTCTTATCCCTGTCAAACATCTTCGTCCAAGCTTCCATAGACCTCAAACATAGGATCATGACACATGCGCATGATATTTCAAAGCTGAGTGATTGAGGACTTGCAGAAAGGCCATATTTACTTCCTATTGAGGTGACGATCTTCTGAAGTGGTCCTCGTCAGCCCGAAATACGATGTTTACCCTGACTAGCCTGCTGGCATCACCCTGCGATGTTTCCATCATGACGTCTGCGAAGCTTTCCTCGAGTCAACAATAGCCAGCAACCTGCCCATAAATAAGCTTCGATCCCGCGCATGAATGGTTGTAGAATCACAACAGAATCATCAAATACAAGTTGAGATGGGCTTAGGTGCCATGAAGTAGGTCAGCTAATGGTATAATGCACATATTATTTGAAGGATGGAAGACTCTTCTTGAAATGGCTCCAACAAACCACCATTTTCTCTTGGCAAGCTTTCAATGTTGACTGAATATCAAGTAGATCGAGCAACTGCGCCTATTGCCCAGGCATAAGTGATTTTCAACAAAGAGATGTTTTCGTACATCCAGGCCGTTGCCCACGACCTCATAAGTGATCTTTATGTCATGAGTATGATCGTGCAGCAGCTTAAAATCTTAAAATGTGAAGAATTCGATACATGGGGCCGTATAAGGAGCGGCAGTCTATGCCATTCTGCTTCCCTCCCCATGCCTATCCACAGCAATTTAAGCCCATCTATGCCATGCTCATGCCTAAGTTTGTTAAAGTATTATAGCTAGCTATTTATCCCTCCTAAGGGAGGAACATAATCCCCCCTCTCCCCTTAGGAAGGCAGCGCGAAGCCATTGGCCCAAGGGTATAAATCCAAAAAGAAAAAGTGCATCCACCTACCTAAGTAATTTAAAACTCATACAAATTTTTTTACATTGGGATCTCATCTTAAAAAAACCCATAATAACCATCCTATTGGGGAGGACTCGACCTCAGACAGCTTTTATGATGCCTCTGCCAAACCCTTGATCGCCGTTCGCAATAATTACCGGAGGCCATTAAAATCCCTATTAATATATTAGACCGAAGGCTGAAGTCTGGGAACCACAACCATACCTACGAGGAAACTGGGGGCTCATCACTAATCACCCTATTCGGCGTCCGAGCCGTAGAAACAAAATGCATTGGAAAAAGCCTAATAGTGCGCCTGGCCGTTGATCAAGGCGGCTGGGCTGAAATCTGTACATGTGTGCACTTTTTATTGGTCCTGAGGTTTCAATGGTTGAGTCGCACAGCATTGATTAGGCATAAGCATACATTGCGCAATTAAGTTAGTTGAAGTAACCATTTAAGACCTCGACTCCCGCTACTTATTTGAAAATTTCCTTATATCGCGCGATGCGAGTAGTTTGGGAAGGTACCTCACGATAATCGCGCGAACAGCTCAACCAAGGGCTTCAGCAATGGATGTTTCAAAACGCTATGACTTGTAAGGTGCAATCAGGTACTATTGTCGCCCCTTTATCTACCAAGTTGAAAACATATCCATCGCCATTAATACTACAACTAGATCCAATCTATACAGAGTCTATTTGAAGAATCCAAGAGGACGTCAGAAAGATCCCCAAGGAAAGTCTTCAGAAAAGCCAAGAGGGACATAGCGCCCTCATCAGCGCCTACACTTGAAGTTATCTCGAAGGAGCTTGGTCGACTAAAACAAACCTACGAACATTTAACAGCCCAGGCAGGGTACAGGCCCACCAAAGCAGATACAGCAGGTTCTGATGACAAAATGTTGAGATTACCAGAAAAAGCCCATGGAGCAGATTTTACTATTGGAGATCCCACTAGAACTAAAAAATCATTCCAATCGACTGACGAGATAAGGAATCTGGCTCAAGAGAGCAAGCAGATTGACCAATCTGAGAAAAGGAAGGGATTAGACCTAAAAATTGATAAGGATGCCGTCAAAGCTGGTCAGGTGGTGCAACCACTCACAGTCACGGCGTCAAGGAGATACAAGTGCCCGAATAGCTGCGAAATCGCATTTAGTAAACAGTCGAAGCGATTTGCCTTAGACTTAAGCTGGCAAACGGGGGGGATCCGGGGGTGGAGGATCCAGCTGAATTACGCGACTCAGCCGATGTACACGACTCTCAAAATAACTGCTATGCCCTCCCCAAGGGTGTTACCGCGACAGAGTTATGAATGGAGATATCTTTCTTTCTCGACGAAATACTTTCGAAGAGCATTACAAAAAGGGATGACTCTATATCATGACGATGAAGATCAATATGGACAACTTTACATTGAGGTAAATATTCCCCCTTGTCTATGTGGTAGGAAAAGGAACTAATGTAAGTAGGCGGTAATTGATCGCGGTTTGGATGAGATTCTTGAGTTGCTTCTAACGTTGTGGGAGGAAGCATTACGATGGCGAATATTCCCAAGGTACCCTATCAGTTGCTGCTATTCATTGCTTTTTATATTTCTACTGACTTGGGGTTAGGCGTGTTGGGTATACTGCAAAATTCAGAATGAAGACCACAGTGCTAGGAGAAAACGAAGCAAGACAATTGGAGCGATTACTTTCATACGTGGACGTTGGAGGGGGAATCAAAACCACCCCATTCCACGAAGCAGCAGAATTGGGGTTGGAAGTGAAAGATGCTGTCGAAGCATGGGATATTAACGGAATTGAATCAGGGTCTAGCGAGGGAGAACGGGCCGCTATGCTCAAGATGCTAGACGAGACGGGGAATACACCACTGCACTGGGCCGTTAGGAAGGGACATACCCAGGTTGTGATGGACTTGCTCGAAGCAGGTGCAAAAACTTACAGTACTGATAAAGATGGACGGACGCCTATTATGGTGGCAGCAGCAAACAATGCCATAGAATGCATGGCACTGCTACTTGCAGAAGGCACCAGCACGATAAACAGTCGACAAAAAAGCAAATCTAGATACGTATCCGACATCAATAAGCGGGATCCAAGGGGCCTCACCGCGTTGCATTTAGCTGCCGAAAACGGCAACTTTAGTTTGGTACAATTACTACTGGATAAAGGAGCATCCCCCTTGAGCCGCGACAAGGAAGGTTGGACGGCGTTGCATTTTGCTGCGTGCTGTGAACGGAATGGAGCAGATGCAGATCAAATCGCCGCCACTCTAGATCTCCTCATCAATGAGCCCAACACAAACATCGACTCACGGACTCAAGATGGGGAAACTCCATTTATGGCTGCAGTCAGATTGAACCAACTTATTGCGGTACGATTTCTCGCCAATGCGGGGGCATCCTACACCACTATAACAAATGATTCAATGAACTTACTACACTATTCAGCATTGTACGCCAATTTTGAGGTCTTAGCGTTCTTAAACAGCATCGGTATATCTGGCGTAAGTTGCAATCTTATGAGCAACGATGGGCATACGCCGTGGGACCTTTTCAACTATACTTTTCGTGCAGACTGCTCCGAAGGGATGTGGTTCCGACAGCCAACGGCGGAAGAATCTATTGCATTCGTTCAACTATACAAAATGGCTCGAAATCAAATTATCCGGCAAGATATTTCACTGTTAAGGATGACTCTTGATGCTCCGGTTACAAGTGATCACATTGTGAGCTCGTCTCTTTCTAAGCTCATTCAGAACCAAAAGGCACGTGGCGAGGTGGACGTGGCTGCATATTACAATGGAATACAAGGTAGTATCCGTGCGCTTGACCAAAAAACACCTCTTTCGTGTATTCGGGAAGATCTCCGGGACCTTGAATATCAATTAAGCGCAGATCCCTGGGACCAGGGCTGGTTCTGTGATCCTGGGGGAGCCCTCACTTCCAACGAATCAGATTACGAGGATACTTCGTCACATAGTGATGAAAACGATTCAGACTGGGAATCAATCGAAGATTTAGCTTTCAGCAACTCTTTGCAGCATCCAACCAAACCATCGCAGGGTCGGCACGAAACTTCTGGAGGCCATTTAGATAACTGGACCAGGCATATACGTCAATGGCTAGAACTAGGAGATCCTCAAGATTACAGTCGATCAGCTAAACGTATAAATCCGACGGAGAAACTGGAAACACCTTCCTCAACAAAAAAATCACTATTGAAGCCTTTGAAACGTGTCTACTGGCCATTATTCAAGAGACTATTTAGGCCCAACGTGAAAGAGGGCTCCCGGCGGATTGAATGGTTTTGCGTACGTCTTATTTCTACATTTACTTTGCTGCCTTATAATGCACGGTAGAAAGAGCTTATAAGGTGCATCCAATATTTTCTAATACTCGAATAGGACTGTGGGAGCGAGTTGTATGCGGATTTCCCCAACGATAATAAAGATGATCTCGATCGGCTTGAATTTTCATTGCGGAATCCCAGACAAAGTCATCAGCACCCGCCTGACGATCCAACTCTCGCTGAAGGGGGATCTGCCAGTCTTGGTCGGATATCGAGCCAGTCTAGCACTCACTCTTATCCAGGCTCCTCTCTCCAGGAAGATGAGAACAGCATCGAGATGTCGCCCCGTCAAATATGCCAGGAAAATCAAACGAGAAATCCAACTTTGTCATCACAATCTACAATCCGCCAGCCCAAATTCCTCGGCCTCTGCGTCAATACAGGAACTATCTATAAAACTCTAGCCGAGATTGATGTATCTGGAATTATATCTGATGCGGCAGCTTTTCTTTTAATTAAGAACGAGTATTTGAAGCTCCGAGGCTATCGGTCGAATTTCAGATTTCTTATCAAACCAAACAATATCGAGTATATACAGGTCAGTCAGTCCCTTCAACTTCTTTAAAACATAGCCTTTGTGAATAACATTGATTTAGTTCGCCCTTTGGAACCTCCAGAATGGCTATATATCTATAAACAACCGTCCACAGTGCATTCCTCCTGAGGACGCTCAGAACTACGAGTATTTTCCGAAACCTCTGCGAACGCTACCGATGCCCGCAGAGGTATTCTTGCACTATCTAGACCACGACGAAGGATCCATCAACTCTCTCCGCAATATTTGGCTTCCACGCTTACCAAAACGATTGGAAGAGCGATTGATTGATGGTGAGGTGGGCAATTTTGGGTGGGGCATATATGTTACTGAGGGCCTAAACCGGGTCGCTATTTTCTGGGTCATGATGTTAACCATATTAGCGAGCGTTCTGGTATGCATTTTATGGTCAGCTTTACAGCATGACGTTCAAGGGGGGGCTGGCATAGGAGCATTGATCGTTGCCCTTCCCCCTGCGATCCTAACTGCCTTTTTATTTAAGCTGGAAGCAATATAAATACCACCTACCTATCCATCTAGGGACATTCAGGAATCTCGATAAGAACCAGATGCTATTCCACTTGGTTTTCCTCTCATCACATCACTTAAAGATAGCTCACTTATTTTCATTCTTATCTTAAATTTCTTTGTAGCTAGAAATGAATGTTTAATCTTTATCTTTCTATAACGATTCAGTTACCTTACGTAGAAAATGGAGCTACAGCACATACTGTAGTAATCAAAGTCCTGTTTATAACCCGAAATCTTCGGAGCAGGAGTCTGCTATATTTTTTCTCTGTGAATGCTGCATCGACTCAAGACTAAGCCTATCTATACCATGCTCATCCCCAAACTCCCTGTCGCCGTATCCTGCACCATAGCCAACTTCCTCTCCGACATGGATAAGATCAGCCGGTTTATGGATAACGAATTCAGAAAGGTGGCCGTGTTAGAGAGTGAGAGTATAGGGTAGGCCCAGACACGGAGATCATCAGTTGTGACCTCGAGACGAACTCTTCTACCTTAAATAATTTAATTGGCCTCGATTTTCGCCATATTTCGAATGCTCTATTATGTATAACTACAAGTTCTTACCCGGGCTTGAGCTCTTAGCACTCAAGCACGAGATGAGTTTGTTTGGCGTCTATAAGGGCTGGAATCACGAGTTGGTAGCAGTTACCTTAGCTAGGATAATTTGTTCTACACCGTTTTTTTTGTATTAAAAGGGTTTTCAGATTCAAATTTATATAAATTGAAAGCGTTAGCTAAGGGTGATTCTATCATCTCTTCCGTGAGGTGAGTTTGAATCTGCCTCAGGCGCTGTAGCAAGTTTCGGACCCTTGTGTCTCTCCGCAGTCTCACCAAAAGAAACTGCCTGAGCGAACCACGGCGAACCATCTTATGGTGCTATTTTAGCTGCAGATTCTCAAATACTAGAGGGGATCTCCCGGCGGTGATTGGGTAAGGGTCAACTACCCCTGTATCATAGTCAATGAGCAGGCTGACTGCTGTGCCACTGCCGGACATGCCTTGCATTCGGCTCCATGGTTTCCCACGTGGCAAAGATGGTTTTTGCTTCTCCCACGCGACTGGTGTTTTCATGTCCAATTTCGGACCAAGCCTCAGTTCCCGGCAGAATCAAGTTGGGTCAGGGTTGGTTTAAACGACCTGATGGACCCGGCTTCAATAATAGGCCTTGCTGGCGCTGTCGCAGGTCTCGCCGACGTCATCGCCAGGACCGTTGTGACCCTAAGCGACCTTCGAAATGCATACAATCAATCGGATTTCAGGCTCAGTGCCCTGATATGTCAGCTTGCGACTCTCAAGGCTTCTTTGAGTCATATAGCTGAGATGGTGAACAAATCTGATGGCAACACACCATCGCTGAGCTTACAGTTTTGTGAAGATTTGAGGGTGTCAATGTACGGCTGTGAAGCGATGGTGAGTGCGTTGGATACTTGTCTAGCAAAATTCCATCAAAACGAGACCAATGGCTTGAGCATCTTGGGCAAGATTGAAGTTGTATTGGATGACTCAACGATTGATGAGTATCTCAGTATGCTAAACAATCAAACAAATGCACTTCAACTACTTCTGACGACGCTCCAATGGTATGTCTTGTCTTGAATATCTAGAAGATACATAAATGTCTACTAACATGTCTTTATAGTCAGACATCGCTAGCTATTGACAAGAAGCTTCACGAGTCTAATTCTCGACGGATCATTAACCAGGTCAGGGATGATACTTCATCTCTGGTGTCTCTATACGACACACTCTCCCTTGCGTCAACAAAAAGCACCGGAGCCCAAGCCGTCTCCCCCACCGCCCCCGTGTCTTTCTCATTCGATTCAGAAATAGTTACATCAAGAGTATACCAAACGGCAATGAGGTATCAATTGAGAGTATCAGGAAATGATGATAGGGCAGACGAAAGCGATGTAGCATCTTCGCGTCTTGGGATCAACCGCCGATTTTCTTTTTCAGTCCACAGTGAAAAGGCTTTTGACCTGGAAGATTCACCAGTGGTCAAACCGGACGAAGGTGATACAAACATCAACTCGACGTCGAAAATCGCCTCCTACCCAAGATCAACCCGAAGGGGAACAACAAAAGTGTTACAATCAACAGCATCTCTACCACGGACTGACAAGTCGAATGCTTCGAAAAGAATTCTCCTTGTTGGCTCATCGGAAAGTGGCAAGAGCACGTTGATCAAATCACTTGCTTGTGCATTTGACCCTTTTGATGAGCAGACACGCCAGACCTACATTGAAAACATAATAGAGATTTGTGTGGAGACAATGCGCCTCCTTGTCATCGAGACAGATATAGACAGAGTGGGAGGCGACTTTGGCCTGCAAAACGAATGTCGGTTGTTGATGGAAGACGGCAACGATCGGCGAGACAAGCTGAAGATGCGTGAGGATGTGGCTGGAGCTATTTCCTCCATTTGGCAAAACCCAGAGATGCAGATGAGATTCGAGCATCGTCGCCAGCATCAAGAAATGTACTATCTGCCAACATCGTCGGAATAGTAAGTCGCATCTCAATACTTGCTAAAACTTACTAACTTAATGTAACCAGTTTCCTCGACTCGGTCAGCCGGTTAGCAGATCGCAACTATCTACCCACGGATAGTGATATTCTTCGCTCATATTGTAAGACTTCCGGGGTTTGCCCCTTCGAGTTCGCTTCAGCAGGCAGGTCGTACACTTTCTACGATGTCGGGGGAGCCCGCTCCCAACGCCGAAAGTGGATCGAATTGTTTCCCAAGGCAGATGTTTTTATGTGGACGTTTGACATTTGCTGTACCGGCGAGGTGTCTCAAGATCATGGAGGCGATTCTATGGAGGAACAATTGGAGCTATGGGAGTTCGTTGTCAATCATCACAGAATTGATTTCGATGCCACCTTTGTTGTTATCTTTACAAAGATCGACAAGCTTACTCCAACGGTAATATCTCGTCTGCTATCCATGGATTTTTTTCGGGGGTATGAGAAAGATCGGACGGATGTCGACATGGTCCTTGATCACGCTGCAAAGAGGTTGGCAACGGCAATGAAAGGCACAAGGATAAATGTTTCATTCGGGCGTGCGAGCATAGCGACTTCGACGACGAAGATGGCTATGGAAGCCATGAGAACACTAGAGCAGCTTGATTGAATTTGATGGTGATTGTTCATCCTCAACATGACACAGTCTTGATATGCCATCCGAGAATGGAGCTCGCTCTTCCACACAATAAGGATAATCGCACAATGTTTCATAAAAGCCTTGGAAAATAATATCTTGAATGATTGGATTGGAAAGCTATAAGCAGCCGTAGCTTTTATTTACCAAATAAGGTAATCAGTTCATCTCAGTAGACATAGTTCATATGCTACCTTAGCCCCAGGTGACTATAAACTGGCTTGTCTATATCTAATGGCAAGCCTTGTCAGTCTACTTCCCCTGCCATTCGACCGGCCGGTTTAGTTCAACCCAACGTTTCTCTGCCTCACTCTTCCACGCAGGTGGCACCATCCCGTTGATCCTCCAGTAATCCCGGGCGGTATCGCTGATTGTAATCTCCCAATCATAGCCTTTCTCGGCCATATAAGGAGCGAGGGCCTCATTAATTCGATCGCTGAAGATTTGAGCGGCGTTTTCCCCTCCATCGTCTTTATGGACGGCTACATGCTCAACCACGAGGCTAACAAAGGGCTTCTCATTTGTAATCTCGCCTCCAATAAAGGCAGTGTCGTGCGGAAGGCAGATAAAGCGGACAACGACATAGAAGGCAGGAAGACCAACTATGGTGGTGTAAAGCTTGGTGATATCTGCAGCGAGGCTTTTCCGAATCTCTGGGGTATCAAAGATTCCGGGAGAGTGGTAGATGTGCCAGAGGGGCATGGTAGAAAGCTTGGTTTGTATTTGGTTGAGTATAGAAGATAATATTGGAATGCTGTTATTATTAAGGTTCAGTTAGAGCAGATATACAGGGAATTGCTCATATTTATACTCGTAGAATAAGATGCTCATTTGTCCAAGACCGCATACGACCTCGCTTCAGTCTGAATCTATCAGACCAACCAGCCCATGACAATGATCGATGATGACACGTATTCGCATTGCGTAGGCATTAAGCTCAATGCAATCGGTATCATTATATAACCAAGGCGGCATTCGGGAGAATTTCGGTGACGTGATTTCTTTTAAGTAATCCCCAGCCATGTAAGCCAGGGCTTAATAACTGATCTCGCATGACAGGTCGATTGAAACTCAAGTAATTGCCTTCCAACGATTGCCATTTTTTTTGTTAGAAATACATTCTCTGTGTTAGGGTTGCATTGCCGACTCGACGACATAATAATTCCGCCGGCGAATGAACAAATTTGATATGTCATGTCCAAGAGCATAGAGAAGAATGCCTCGCTAGAATATATCTGACGACATCTTTCAGTTTCGCCTCAAAAAGAACATCCGTAATGTCTAGATAATAATTTTGTATACTTAGCCTGCTCCCCAGGGTGGTTTCGTCTTATTCACGTTACATATTAGCCCCAGAACAGCATTTATCACATAAGGCGTCCGAAGACAGTGGCGTAATCATCTCATCGTCAGCACGAGGATCCGTTTGTTCGTAGTAAGCCGAAGTCCGTCACGAAAAGCACACGAACGCCGTTGCCAGCAATAACTGCATAATTATAACTAAGCTATTCTTATATCATCATACTCTCCAAGATTACTGGAAGACTACACGCACCATCACATACGTCTTGGTAATGGCAAGCCTGGTCTTGTTACACCGTTGAATGTCGACCCTGACAGGAGGAAAATCATTATAAAGTGTATGGCGCTTCTAAAGATCAACAGCAGTGATAAGAGAGTCATTAATCTTGCGAGAAAACAGAGCCTTATCAAATGAACCTCGTAGAATATAGTGACGTATAGCCTTTTAGTATGTGCGAGTTTGGGACGAAATTGTCGCGCCTAGTGGCAAACCGCTACTGATATTGAGGAAGCTGATCTCGGTATTGAAGAAGGAGATAACTAACCCAGTATTAACTGATTTAAATGAAGGAAGTGAAGGTAAATTAAAACGAGGATTAGGAGCCCAGTCATGATCAGAGCGTCCTCGACAGCATCCGAGAATCGACCCGCACCAATATCAACCCCTGCGAGAGATCTAACTGTCCTTGGAGTGGAGAGGGCTAATGTAACATGATTCAATTCCCCTCTCGCTTGCAAGCAAACATCCACTACTAGATCAATCAATGCTTCGATCAGGGTGTTGAGTAAGACAGCATCGCCTTGTGGAGACCTTTAAAATATGAAAGGACTTTTGATCAAATATCTAGCTGAATGATGGGCTACCCATAGATGACTATATTGCAGTCCCCTTCCACTGCTCTCTTAGGTCCAAGAGCTCTGTTTGTTCGAAAAGTCTTTTGGTTGACTAGATACCTCCCTCCTTTCAATGCAACGCAAAGGAAGACGCGATGAAGTGGGCACGGATGTCTAGACATCCGGAATCCTTCATGACAGGGGTTTGATCTAATACCTTGCCGTTGGATTGGCAGATAGGCTAGCTTGGCACTACTTGTTCTCGGGAAGACCAGTTCCCGATCAGTCGATATCTCGTTATCTGGTTGCCGGCTCCTCTTGTCAAGTCGTGGTCAAATCAGATGAACCGTTTTTCCAATTAGCAGGGTCCTCTTTTCCTGGGACGAAATTAGCACCAGGCTAAAGTAAACCCTCCAAGCTAAACGGCGAGATATGGAAATGCGTGTGGCCTGCTTGCTGATAGGTCCAAATTGCCGTCAGCAGAAGCCCAAAACGGAATGACCCTGGACGCCAATGGCAAACTATCACGACACAACGGAGAATTCCATCATCGGAGCCGGTGATTTCTACAAGTCGCTGCCCATGCTAGAGTTTAGTTATAAATGATGGGTCCCTCATTGGCGGTTGTTTCGTACAGTCGCCTAGTTGTTCCTCCTCTAAATAGCGATCGCCGCCTCAGTGGGCATTGATTCAGCCACACAATGCTCTCAGCCGGATTATTCGCCGGGCTCTTCGTCCTGTATTGGGTTTGGACTGCAATTTATCGCCTGTACCTCAGTCCCTTGGCTAAGATTCCCGGACCCAAGATCGCTGGTACGGCTGATCTTTCTACCCAGTAGCATCAATGACGGCCAGCTAACCAGTTCCAACCCAACAGCACTAACAACATGGTACTGCGCATACCATGACATTATCCGCGGAGGCCAATACATCTGGGTAGTGGAGGAGATGCACCGCAAGTATGGCCCCATCGTGAGGACTATGCCGGGCGTAGTCCACGTCAACGATCCCGCCTTCATCGAGAAGCTATACACCCTCGCCCCCAACGTACGCCGCGAGCGAGGATGGCCCGTCCTAAACATGTTCGGCAACGACAAGGCCATGCTACCAACCCGCGATCATGATCTCCATCGGCGGCGACGCGCTGTCATCAGCCGGTATTTCTCGCAGCAGAACGTGAGGCGGTTGGTCCCCTTCATCAATGACACTCTCGGCGATCTTCTCGAACGATTCGATAAATGGGCCGAGGCGGGCGATGTGATCAAAATCAGTATGCCGTATCGGGCTGCTACCAAGGATGTGATTCAGTCCTATGCATTTGGAGAGGGCGAGAAGTGTCTGAGTATGCCGGATTGCAATGCTGCCTTCTTCGCTATCATCGAGACAAACCGTTTGGTCCATATCAGTGTTCATTTGCCTGCCATGATGGCTGTTGTAAACAATCTGCCAGAAAAGGTAGCCAAAGTTTTGATACCAACAGTGGGCAGTTTTATCCAGTTTCTCAAGGTAAGCAGACCCATCCTATTCATCCAAAATCTGAGATAGAATCAATAGATCAATCAATCTCTAACAAGTCTTCAGGGTCTTACGGTAACGATCGAAGGTATCCGAAACTCCAAGGAGGACCCCGAGCGACGAACCATCTTCCACGAAATTCTGCACAGCGACATTTCCGAGCAAGAGAAAAGCACGAGCCGCATGGTTGATGAGGCTATGGTACTCGCCATTGCGGGAGCAGACACGACGGCCGCCACGTTAGAGGCTCTGACCTACCACGTTCTGAGCGACAGAGAAATCTTCAAGAGACTACGGGCCGAGCTTGACCAGGCGATCCCGGATCCAACTCAGTTCCCGGATCCTACCAAGTTGGATAATTTGCCTTTCCTCAACGCCTTGATTGAGGAGACGCTGAGACTCTACCCGAGCGCAACACATCGTCAGGATCGCCTAGCGCCTGATGAGGATCTAGTCTATCAATATTCCGATGGGCGTAGTGTGACAATCCCTAGGGGAACTGTCGTGGGTATGACGGCTATCCTGGTCAACCGAAGCCCACTGTGGTATGAAAATCCGGACGAGTTCAGGCCGGAACGGTATATAGAGAATCCAAAGAGCTTCAAGCGCATGTTGACCTTTTCTAAGGGAGCGAGACAATGCCTTGGGATCAACCTGGCGTACCAGGAGCTTCAGACTTTCACTGCAGGAATCTTTCGCAAGTATAGGCCTTACGACCCTGAGCTGAAAGAGCAGAGTGGCCCAACCTTGGAACTGCACGAGACCACGGTGGAGGATGTCAAGACATATGCGGATTATGTCACACCTGGGCTACGTCCTGGTAGTAAAGGTGTTCAGGTGCGCATCCGCCGAGACTAATTGCGTTGTTGGATGAGGGTTGTATATATTAGCCGTTCATGAACATCGCTCGGTAGCTGCATCACCCATGTCCAAAGGGGGCGATCCAGAGCAAGCGCTCGGCCGAGTTGTCAATATCATAAAATCATATACTCCAGACAAAAGTCGCAGTCCTTCAGGCGAATATCGCCAAGCTTTTTGTTGTTGGTCCAGTTCCGACTCACATAGTGAGTCGTTGATCCACCCTCTTATGCTCGCGGAAGAGCCATTTCAGCAGAATTTGTACGTTTTGCCAGATATATTTGCTTCTCCAGTAATGTCACAGAGAAATTTCAAGTGAATGGAAATCAATCGGCGTCAAATCGTAACTCATGGCATCCAACACCCAAATTGATTACTTACTGTGCCGCTTGAATCTGTGTGTGCCCGCATTAAGCGGCGGAGAAATCCCGCTGCTCGCCGGTTTTCCGCAGCAAACAAGGACCCTTGTCAGCAAGATTGAGTGTTGCTTTCAAACTGAGTCGCATCGGCGGGCGGAGTTGCGGCGCTTTTCCGCGTGTTTTCCGCAAGTTTTCCGCCGGAACCAACATAATCACCATCAGCCGCATCAGAACGCGGCAGCTTCGAAGAAATCACAAGTAGTCCCAAGCAGCTATGTCTATCCATGTGGTCCGCAAGATATCCGACGATGCCCATATCAAGCGGCCTGCTTGCGTGGCCTGCAGCAAGGCCAAGCGCAGATGCACCAAGCAAGCTCCCGCATGCCATCGGTGTCGGAGCAAGAGGATCAGATGCGAGTACCCTTCATCCCGCGTTCTGCTATCGCCGCCCTTGGCAACGTCTTCAACTTCTGAAGAGATCTCCCAAGTAGACCTCGGTGCTGTATTCGGATTGGGTGACGCGACCGAGGACTCCGACGCGACGGCCGATCAGATCGCGGCAGACGGAGTCGACCGGTTCGGGGCCAAGTTCCTCGAAAGCCCGTGGTTTCTGAGCGCGTCGGGCTGGGAGATTGACAAAACTTGCTCGAACGGGGACAATAGTATCACCTACATGGACTCGGGGCTCGACTTCTTCGTTGATCAATTGCGGCTGTGGCTGGATCAGTGGACGACGGACAATCACTGTCCATTCATCCACGCCCGCCTCTACGGAGACGAGCTTCCATGTCCGCTCCAGAATGCCTACGCGGCATGGCTGACGTATAGATCACCCGGTGGGATCAAGAAAAGAAGAATTGCGCTCCAGATGGGCATAGACTGGTCCAGGAACATTGTGGAGGAGCAGTCCATATATGACGGGCTCGGCAAGGAATCCATTAAGACCTTGCATCATCTCTGCAGGACGCAGGCGCTCATCGTCTTCCAGCTGATGGGGCTCTTTGACGGCGACATCAGAGCTCGCGCTCAGGCCGAAGACACATCCCGTACAGTTGTCAAATGGGCCGAAGCCTTGATTCAAAGTGCCGTGGCGGATGTTACAGCTCAGCATCGTCCCGGGCGAAGTGACCAGATCGTCCCAGGTCCGATGGCACTTCGCTCTGATGGAAGCCTAGACTCCACCTGGAAGGCATGGGCTCTATCGGAATCCATACGGCGGACATGGATAGTTGCAAATTTGCTAGAGGCGGCGTTCCTCATCCAGAAGCAGGGCTTTGCGATCTGTCCGGGAAGCATTGGCTTCACCGGCAAGAGTGGAATGTGGAACGCGTCTTCACCGCACGAGTGGCTCAAGAGTGTACAGGCCAAGACAACCACAAATCTCGTCGTATTTTGCAGAGGACTAGACAAACTACTTACTAACGGCAACCCCCCCGATGTTGATGAGTTTAGTCAAGCTCTGCTTACATATGGCTGTGGGCGGGAGGCGGTGGTGGACTGGTTGGCATCGCAAGTATAGGGTGGGCGGTAGAGACGTGCATATTGTGGATGAGGATGTTCCGGTGATCTACACAATACTGTACCTTTGAGGCTCTGAAAACGTTTTCTTTGCCGGTGATTTCTTCATATGACGATCAGATTTTCTAATTTGATGACAATATTGGCTCAATCCTCACGTCATTCACCGACGGCATCAAAACGAAAGGGGCCGGCTAGTCGTTTGGAGCAAGTAAAGCACATGTGGATTCAACTGGACCGGGAAGCCGGTGACATGAATCGTGGATACATGTATGCATAAAAATTTGCACAATAAAAGGGGGGAGGAAGTCAATTGGCAGCGAATCTGCACCGGAATAACCTTGTTTTTCCCAGTCCCCGCGCGGAGAGACTTTCCCTTGAGAATCAATAGCCGTCCCCGTGTTTTGTCTGTCTACGCCGACTGGCAAGGCCTTTATTTCTTCTTAGTCATTGCCGGCCAATCAGGGCACCTTGGGCGGCTCTCGGAGGTCAGATGGACTCGTCATTTTGGAGCTCTTACGTACATGTAACCAGCGGTGCTATGCAAGGATGGCTATGGAATGTACTGGCGATGGATACAGAGGGCAATTTGCACTGTTGAGAGCTGAGACGATTGGCTTCAGGCTGATCCAGGTACATAATGCAGGGCAGTTGAAAATTTTTGTAGGTGTCGGTCACGATGGCTGACGGATCATCCACCCTCATACCTTGAGCTACGCCAATGGCTACGGAATGAAACAGGGGTTACAGAAGTCTCACTGCGGTGACGCTGGGCAGCAATTTACCAGACAAGCTCGCTAGCTCAGGCAAACTTCCAACGCGTCCAGGAGAAGCTTCTCCCTCGAGTCAGTCCGTCTTGATGGGGGAAGACGCCAGAGCTCCCCCAGGTCGCGTGACACGAGTCTGGGGCTTACTCTGGCCAGGGGCAGAGGCTGGAGAGCAGATGGAACAGATCTTTGATTGCCCTTCCCCATGACCGAGACTTGCGGTGGAGGCTCGCTCAATAGGCTCGACCCAATGGGCGGCCATGACACCACCACACCCTTGTGTGCCGCCATGTCACCCGCGAGGTGACGAGCGATTGATGCCATTTCCATCTACAAATGCCAAGTTGCCGGTATTTTTCTGTTACGTACGAGTGGCGTCCCTTTTGTGGGGATGATGTCTTTGTGACGATCACGCGGGCTGCTGATTCTGAGAATAGAGACGGCGGCCAGAGCTTCGAGCAAGCTGCCCCGGCCGTTCAGCCCGACCGGCACACCCAATTCGCTGCACTGCTACCGTCTGGCGGGCGCAACTGTTGAGGATGAATCCATCCAGGACGAGGGATCCACCCCCGCATCACTCGATCCCTGCCGCCCTGACCCATTCCAACTCCTGATCCATCGAGGGACAGCATACGGAGTACGTACCGGCACAGGCTGAGCTTGCGAGGAGATCCCGTCCTGTCCCCGAGCTGGTACCTGTGAATTGCTAGTCTCAGGACCTATTAATGGGTTGGCGGCCACATCTGGGGTAGCTATGTTGTATATAGCCAGGACAATGCAATGAGCCGGTCGTCGTCATCACACTTCTGAACACTCTGTGATCATCCCTCTTCTACACACATCACAACCATGGACGAATCATCACCAATGGAGTGCGGCATGAACATTGCTGATCTCCCCCTCGACGTCCTGCGTCTCATCTTTGACGAGTTCCGGGACCCAGAGGTGATCTCCCACGGTGAAGTCGACTGGTCGCCGAGCCAATCCCGAGCTTGGCGGCCGGCCGACTCTTCCAACCTCCAGACCATCCAGAATGCCCGTCTGGCCTGCCGTCTATTCAATTCCGTCGCTTCACCACTTCTTGCCCCCGTCTTGCGTCTGGATCTGAGCAAGAGATCTCTACAAATCGCCAATGGCCTGACGCAAAACCCCCTAATCGCGTCCGGCATCCACGGCGTGCTGGTCAACCTCGACTACAGGCCAGCCGAGTTAGCCAACAACATGGCCCTCTATGCCAACTACCTGCAGCTAGAACTGCAGCAGATCGACACCTACTGCCAAACCAAGATCTTCCACCACCACCGCTTCATGAGCGAGGACGATGATGAGTGCTATGATGAGCAATCAGAACACCTGGATGCCTGCACCCAATGCAGGTTCGAGTATCGCTCTCTGTGCGACGCATGGCAGGCCTGCGTCCAAAACAGGGGCATCTCGCCCACCAAGGAGACGCGAGCGTACCAAGCAATGCTGCGCGAGGGGTTCCAGGTCTACAAGCAGGCTCACGAGGAGCAGGCCCAAATAATCGCCGACGGGTCATTCGTGCAGTCAATTGCAAGTGCCATCGCCAGAGTCGGACATGCCGTGTCCCTCGGCCTCGTTGACGGGCGTGGCCACAACGCCAGCCCGTTCGCTGCGGACTACTTCTCGTCTATTCTGAACAAGGACATCCTTGCCGAGTTCATGATCAGGCCACAGTCGTGGAGTGCCATCGAGAACATTGATGCGAAGCTCGTCCCCGCCCAGATTCTCTCACAACTGCCCGTCGCTATCTGGCAATCTGGCGGTGCGCTTCGAAATCTGAGCAATGGCTGCTTCCCCCATCGGAAGGATCATTCGCTGGCTCTATCGCCTGCGCTCGAGGGAGCACAGGGACACCACGAGGTTGCCGCTCAGCAGCTGCGTGTATTTGAATTCGGTACCCTGGCCTCATCAGCAACCGGTCGGTCTTATCTCGATGACGATAGTAAGGCTGCGATGGACGCCTATCTTGGCTCGATGCTGGGAAGCACCAATTTACAGAAGCTGAATCTTGATATGGTGGTTTACAACGGGGATGATGACAATGGTAACCGTCCTGGATACTATCACATCGGTTCGGCCTTGTCATGCGTCAAGAGCAAGGACATCCGACACATCAACATCAGCAATGCCGCCTTGTCCCAGCAGGAACTGGAGGCTTTCTGCAAATCTCTCGGTCGTCGCATAGAGTCATTAAGCCTGAGCAAAGTGGACTTGCTGGACGGGTCCTGGTTCAACGCGCTCGAGAGGCTCCGTGACACTCTCTCGTCTCGATGCCTCTCAGGACTTTGTGAGGTATCCTTCAGCGGCCTCTCCGGCGGTGAATTTGGAGACCAGCCAGAGGACCAATCCTCCTCATGGCCTGGCAGTATCCCTGGTCCTCTTTCAATGGTCAAGAGGGCAGAGCAGTTTGTTAGTGGAATGGAAGAGAGGAATGTGTATTTTAATTAGGCGACACAGAAGCCGACCAACAAAAAGCATGGACTAGCGTTGATTTTTGGGGATAACAAAAACAAAATGAAGGATATATTGGTAGGAGATGCTTCTGGCCAATTCTAATGGGTAATTTTATGATAAAATATGAATCCTTGCATATGGTATGCTTATTAACAATATTGCTGTTCGATTCGTGAAATCGTTCGAAGCTACGAATTCTCGATTATTGTGAATTTGGAAATAAGGTATTTTGGAACCAAGCAGCGTAGATAATATCCTTCCCTCTACATAGATACCTAGGCACTCACCAAGGAATGAAAGTGCGCGGTCCTCGATTAACCAGGTAGGTCCTGAGTTAGGGTTATACTGCTTAGCTACCTACTTTCTTTCAATTAAAATTCTAAAAGTTAATAAATTTTATAAAAAGTTTATTTATTAATAAAAGAATTATATATATTTTTTATTTTAGTTTTAAAACTTTTTTTTTAATAAAATATTTTAGCTTATAAATAGAGATAAAATAGAAGAACTCTAGATTTAGACTTATACTAGCTTTTTTATTAGGCTAGAAGGGATTTTTAGTAGGAAATATAGTATAAATTAGATAAATATTCTACTCTTATAAAATAGCTAACTACTAATCTTTTTATTAATAAATTTTAATTTTAATTATATAATATAAAATATAACTATTATTTTATATATAATATAAATTTCTGGTTATTATATGTTATATTTCTCTAGAGATCTAATATAATAGAAGTTAGAAATTCCCTATTTAGGGTAGAGCACTATAACGTGCTAGCAAACTTATTTCTGCTAATAGTGTATTACTAAACAGCGTAACCTTCCCCGTTCTAATCTCGGGCATCCTAAATAACTTCCGATGCGCTTCGATGGCCCGTCGAAAGCGCTCTTCATTTTCGAGGGCTAGGCGCTGCACACCACTCCGCGTCTCAATACACGACTTGCCCTCGTGGATATACCATGCCAAGTGACTTTCCGAGCACTGAATCAGCAAAGACATGAAGGTCTCTCGAAGATCAACGTTGTCTGAGCTGGTGGCGCCCACTCGAAACGCATCCTGCTTCATCAAAAGTGGGAAAGTGGACAGTTCGCTGAGTTTGATGGATGCATTCGCAGGCGAGTTGTTCAAAATCGAAATGGCTCCCTGTCTCACGTCTTTGCATCTCCCTGAATTCTGAAGGTTTTTTATCAATAGTCGGAGCGTCTCTTCGGACAGGGTTGCTTGTCCGCCCAGGGCAGCCATGGCGCTGGCCACCACTCCCCTATCTTCGTCCGAGGTTCGCTCCACGATGGATAGCAACAGGTCTTGTGACAGGTTTGGGTGCCCACCGAGGGCCTGAACGGCCGCATGTCTGACATAGGATTCCTCATCCTCAAGGAGAGACTTCACATATTGTAGTATGGTATTGGGTAAGTTTGGGTGGTTGCGTAACACAAGGGCGGCGGCTTGGCGAACGTCGTGTTCCCCGTCTTCAAGATTTTTCACAATCCGCCAGAGATCATCATTTGAAAGATCGGATTGTCTTCCCAATGATAAAGTAGCTGCTTTTCGTACAATTGCTTTACCATCATTAAGTCTTTCTCGTAGGCGGAGACGTGCTTGCTTCGGTAGAACACCCTTGCCTCCAAGGGCACTGGCGGCCGCCCATCGACACCACTGATCAGAGCTCTCGAGCAACGATAGAATACCATCATATATACTTGGTGGAAGCTCGGGTTGATTTCTAATAGCCACGATGGCTGGCTTCCGGGTGCCGGTGAGAGGGGATGCTAAATGGGCTAGAAAAACTCTCAATATATCCTCGGGCAAATTACTTTGCTTGCTCAGTACTCCAAAGACATTTCTTTTCATATCCATGTGTTGGAACTCAACGGAATTTACCAGGCTCCGAATGATATCCAGGGGTAAGGTGGATTGATTGCCCAAGATCTCGAGTGCGCCTCCATACCCAGGCCCATCCCGGTTGTCAATAAAAGCGGCGGCGATGGCAGAAAGGATGCAATCTGACAACTTTTTCTGGCTGCCGATAACCGTGAATGCGGCATCTCTAACGTATTCCTCTTGGCTCTCTAAAAAGCCTTGTATTGAGAGAAGTTTATCCTCGGGTAGAGACGACTGGCGAGCTAAGGCGTCAAGAGCCGCAAGTTGCATGGTTGAATCTGGGCTCTGAAGGTATGTCATCACGGTCATTAGAATATTATCCGGCCAAGGCTGGTAGCCTAGAGAGAGAATAGCAGCTTTTTGCGTTTCTTGATCTGGCTTGTTCAGATACGTCGCCAATTCAGCCAGTATGCTGCTTGGTAAATCAGGCTGACTTTGTATGGTGATTGCTGCGATATCTCTCTCCCTGCCTTCCCGATCAAGGCGATCTACCAAAGAGTGCAAGGTGTTATCAGGTAGTCTAGATTGGTTTGAAAGAGCTAGAACAGCTGCTTGTCGGGACTGAAAACTACAATTCGCGAGAAGACGAGTAGGGTTATTCCAGGCGTGATAACTCTTGCGCTTCGCAAGAAGTTTAGAAAAAACGCCCGATGGACAATCTCTCTCGTGGGCGAAAAGAGGATATTGCCCAAACTCCAAGCCATAGAAATCTTTGGGCTTATAAACCAGCCATGTACACACTTCGTCTTCTATTTGAGACTTGAGAGGTATGAAATGGCTGGGCGTTATGGTAGAGGGGATTTCGTGCAAGCAGTGCATTATAAGTCTTTGATGCGCAACTCCTAGATAGTCCCGGGGTTCTTCATCAAGCTCGCGGAAGAATTTTATACAGCCTTTAGGCTGAGACGCTTCCGAGGCTAGACAACCTGCGACGAACCTCCAGAAAATATCATATCGCGCGGAGTATTTGTGGCTGTGAAGGAATTGTTTTGGAGTGAGGTCCTTCACCTCGAGCTGGCCATCTCTTAAAGTTCTGGTCTGGTGAGTTCTTAATAACTTCAAACTGGTTCCTTTTTGCCAGTTCCTCACGAAATATTTAGCGGCAAAATATTCTTGATATGTTAAGTGTACGAAGTGGTACAACGGATGTCTCTGGGTAGCTTCCGGATCTGTTTCTAGAGTCGTTCTCATAAAGGAAGTCTTCCTTAATATCCCATCGGCCGTCATTTCTGGCTGGTAAAAATGTGCTGCCACACTATCTCGGAAGTTGGCATTAAAAAGAATAGTGTTGTTATACATTCCGGAAAATGCCAACCCTTCGAGAAAGAAAACCTCTTTGGAGACCGACGCCATGGCACCGATAGCTCGATGTTCATCTGTTGTCAATCCACTAGGTACTAGTTTCAAACGATGGCTGTCCTTTTTCCACAGTCCTCTTTCAATGGCTTGATATAGGTCGGTCATTGTTTCTGGTTCATTCTTGCAATGATAGATTTCATCCCACCCAAAGCAAAGTGCGTCGAGCTGAATAGGTATGCGCACTAGATCTCGAATAAGAGGGAGACCTCTAAGAAACGACAAGATTGCCTCTGCATTGGTGGGCTCCACTTTGCGCACAAACTCTTCCACCTGAGCTGGCTCGAATCCTAGTGTTTCAACCTCGAGATCAAAAGGCTTAACTTCAAGGGGAGGTGAGGCGGATGGGCGTGACATGACAATGACGTTGGGTTGGTTCAACAGGTGTGTGACAAACCGTGACATGTCACTGTCGCCAGACAGGAGATGTGAAATCTCATCCAAGCCGTCTAAAATGAATAGTGTCTGGCCGCCACTGGGACTCTGACAAGCCCTTTGGACAGACGCAGCTAATTCTTCTCTCTGCGGGTGGTGAGGGAAGAACTCGTCGCTAAGTAGCTCGAAAAGATTATATCTGCTGCCCCGTTGCTGCAGATTCCTTAACGGCACCCAAAGAACCCGCTGAAATAGGTTTGACCACACTCGGTTGTAGAGAAACTCATGCACCGCTTTCTTACAGAGTGTGGTCTTACCAACACCCGCATGACCTCTTACAAAAACTCGTCTTGGTAGTATGTTTCGCCCATCTGGCGTTTTTCTAAGATCGAAGATCTTACGTAGGTCAACTTTTGCGTCCCTTGGTTCCACAGCAAGCTTTTCCAAGAGATAGGGCGAGGATGATTGGTTGTGTTCTGCACCTCTTCGACCCTGGGAGTTACTGCTGGCTGTCTCGACAATAGCTAGATTTATATAACAATCCTCGATATCCAGACTTTCTCCAGACAGGCGCTTGAGTTTCAGAGACTTGGCATAAGATTTATTACGAAGATAGTCATCCGCTAATGGAATTGGTGCTATATCACAAGGCCAAGTCAGTAATTGAAATGGAAACTGTCTCCTTCCCCAATCAATGCCAATAATGTCCTTGCCCCCACTCCCGCGTCCCTCCATACATTCATTCAATTTGGAGTTTTCAAGGCAGCGAGTCTGGCCCGGAACTCTATATCTGCAGCGTCCTGTTCTGTCGCCGCATGTTCTTGGGTATTAACAGACTCACATTTTGCCATTGCCTTCTCATACAACTTCTGGATGTTGGGTAAGACAAGCTCTAGATTGTCTTGATCCTCGATGGAATCACTGAACCTGCAGACACCTCCGTGGTCTGCGTTTAGCTTCACTATGTGTTCGCGGTTACCAGCTAGGCCCAGCCTGGCACTTTCTCTCGGGACGGCCTACAAGGAAGGGATTGTTAGACATCTGATTCAAGAAGACACCGATACAACTTACGGTATCATGATCTCCCCAGAACGAGACGATGTCGTAGCTCTCCAGCTGATGTCGCCACTGCTCGGCCATGATGTCTGAGAAGACACTGCCCTTCTTCAGTGTGCTCAAGACATCCGATTTGTTTGAAAACCCAACGGTGTTCGCAATCGCGACGGCAATCCTGCCCAGGTTTACCAGTGTCTGGTCGCCGCCACTTTGCGGTGTTGCGAAAAAGGCAAGACCGCTGGTCGCATCTTTGATAGATGAGTAGACAGGGTTTACATGAGCATTGATCAAGGCTTGCTTGATCAGAATCCCACCCATGCTGTGGCCGAACCACAGGATCGGCCTCTGCTCTGCGCCATTCCGCTTTATATGAATGGCCTCCAGAAGGCTGCTAGCCTTGTCGTGGAAGTTACCCTTGTCGGTGCCATAAGCGGCGGTCGCATCGTACTGATACAGGAAGATTCGAGCCCCAGGGACAATTGCAGGGAGGTCTTCGCGGAGCCAAAGATGCCCCTCAGAGCCTGATGGTGTTCGCCACGTATCCCAGGCGTGATCGGCCTCATTTTTGCTGCGGGGATTGAGACCATGCACAGCGATGATGCTACGCGCAAAGTTAGTGGAAGGAGTCTTAGCCAACAATGGAGGTAGAGGAGACTCTGAAGTCCGTTCTACTAACTCGACCTTGAAATCAGAGGCTTTGACGCTCTTGTCAGAGGGGTCAGGGAAGACTTGTCGCAATGGCTGATAGTAGTAGTTAGCAGGCAGCACGCTAGGTTGACACACATTCCTCAACACACCATCTGAACGGACTTCTAACGTGATAGGGATGCCGAGGTATATATCGATTTCTAGGAGCACGGCTGACTTGGCGAGTATACTCTTGCAAGGTATGGAGACGGAAAGAGAAGAAAGAAAACAAGTGCGCAATGCACGAGCTGAGAGCACCTCCTCCTCAGACAAGTGGGGTAATCAGCCGCAGCGCTTCGGCAACCCAATCATGAAGCCAGCTTCATTGTTACACCGTGGGTCCGTCAGCAGGAAGGATTCTCCCTGGAGAGGCCTGTGGCCGTGATCACATGACCGCGAAATTTGGCATGAAAATGTCTGAACGGTATAAGTGAGAGGTGAGAGGATGGAACTGAAGATGTGGTTTGACAAGCAGCTGTACAGCAAAGCAAAAAGCAGCAAATTGAATGAATATATAATGATTAATAAAAAAGCTAGCTATTGGAAGGTTCTAACCAAAGGTTGGATAAATATATAATTAACCAGACCCACCGGTTAATTAATAAGGCCAGCTATTAATAAGCTAATATCTAATAAAGCTATTAATATAGATAAATTTTCTTTTTCCTTTTAATTAAAAGGAAATATATATAATAGTTAGATAACTAGATATATATAATAATATATCCCTAATAATATATAAATATATAAATATATAAAACTATAAAGTATAAAGTATAAATATAAAAATCTATTAAGCCTAGATTAAACCCTGCTGAATCTATTATATTCTATTAGTTATATTTAATCGTATTTAGTTATATATAACCTAACCTTCCTTATATATAATAACCGAATTATTATTAATAAACTACTCTAATAAGTAATTTAGTATAAACTTAGTAAAGTAGTTAGTAAGATTATCCTTACTATTAATCTAACGGATCTTAATTAACTCCTAATATTTATATAATTATTATAAGGCTATAATATTAATTATAAATTATTTTTCCTTCGTTATACTAAGCTTTACTAGATATTTATATAAGGAGTATAAGTCTATATATATAATAGTTAGAATACTAGTAATTAATAAACAGTTAGTAACTATTTAGAGAATAGTAGAGATTATATAGATAATATTAATACTAGCTACTATACTATATACTTTAAATATAAGAATAGAATATATTATATATTTATATTTAGTTAAACTATAGTAAATAATATTACCTATTAGATAGAATAAGTTATTATTATATTCTTATTTATTTACCAGAATAAGAATAAAATCAAGTTATAATATTATATTATTATTATTTATAAATAATATATTAATAAATATAAAGAGTTTAGCTATCTTTAGATTAAGTAGGATAAATATTAACCTACAGTCTGGATTATTAATTTACTATTAAATATATTTATTTAGTATCTTAATTTATATATTAGATAGGTTCTAATATTATATAGCTATAGATAAGTTAAATAAAGTCTTAAGCTAGTAGATTAATATAATATATATACTGTAAGCTTATTATTTAATATATTACTTCTATAGTTAGTTATTATTATTTACAGTTTATAGTTTTATACTCTATCTCTTCTACTTTAGTTAGATTATACTATTATTATTATAGCTAATAACCCTGCTATTAAAGATAATAGGGTTATCTGTTATAAGATATTATTTTAGCTTAGTAGTAAATTATACTTCTTTTAGCTTCTTATCTTCCTATTAATTAAATTTAATATTAGATAAACTAATTATATTATTAGTCTATATACTAATAATACTAAATAAATTATTATTAATAGCTATAATTAATAAGTATAGATTATAAGTTAAAGGTTCTATCTAAAGTCTTTTTCTATAGTACTTATTATATATATCCTACCAGTAGGTACCAGCTTTAACTATATTATAAAGCAGTTTCTTAATAACTATAATAGAACTAGGTAGATATAAATAATAGATTTAGACCAGTAAGCAGGCTAGAATAATATAGTTTAGGTCGGTTAATAACTATATATATACTTATATAATATTATATAGCTATAGTTAAATCTAATTATTATCTTATATAATTAAAGGAGTAATAGATAGTATAAAGTATTAACTTACCTGTTAGATAGTTAAAGCCTAAGTTAATATAGTATATTTTCTATTATCTATATAGCCTTATATAACTAGCCTTAATTTCTTATAAAGTTAATTAGTACTTTTACCTTTAATTTTATTAATTATCTAAGAACTAAATATATATATTCTATTATATAACTTCTTATTAAATAGGATAATCTTAAAGATATTCCTTTCTATTAGGATATTAATTTTAGTACAGTTAGACTATTTAAATAGTTTACTAGATACTTATATCTTACCCTCCTTTTAGAGGGAAATTACTAATTTAAAATTAAGTTATTCTTTAGTAGAAAGATATATAACCTTATCTTTATCTAATATAAGATATAAGCTATTAATATTATTATTAAATATAAAGTTATTAAGCAGTTTATCATATTTAAAGTTATTAACTTCTAAAGTAAAATTAATAATAGGCTGGTTCTTAGATTATTAGGGTAACTAGTAGTATATTATATTAATAATAATCTTATTAAGTATAGGTTTATCTAATATATTACTTAAACTATCTTTAGATAAGAAAGTATTAATTAGTTAAATATTTTATAGTATATTACTAACTAGGTTTAGTACTATATTATTAGGAGGGGAAAAATTATAGTAAAATAGTTTAATTATAATTAACTGGAATAAGTATAGTCCTTATAGTATTTAGATAATATATTTCTACCCTTTAATTAATAGAAGTTTAAAAGGTCCTTACTATAATTTAGATATCTCCCTCTATATATAAATATTAGATTATAGTAGAAGATTTAGTATATTAGATATATTAGAACTATTCCTTATTATAAGAGCTTTATTTACTATTTACTTAGCCTTCTATTTTCTTACCTCCTTAGTTACCTTCCGGATAACTATAATATATTTAACTATTAAAGGGGAGGATATATAGTTATCCGTAATCCGGGGAAATATACTAAATATAAGAAGTATAGGAACCAGACTATTAGGCCTAGCTATATTATTTATAGTCTTAATAGCTATCTGTAAAATATACTCCAGTAGGATTAATAGGTCCTTAAGATAGATAATATTATATACTTAGTAGAGTAGTAAATAGTAATATTTAATCTTTCTAATACTATAATATACTTTAATT